AGCTTTACACTAATTTAATTGTATATGTAAAAAAAAAAAAAACTTAAGAACGAGAAATGTTTAATTTCACAATCTATAGCTTCGGTTACATACTAGTATATGAAACATATTACCCATAAAACGTGCTTGAACCAAGGAACCAATCGGATTGCTTAATTGGGTCATAAGTTGAGACTCATCTCTTCACCTCACCTGATTACCTACTTTCGGCGAGATTCTGAAGTGTGCATAATGATGAATAGACACTTTACTATCCCATGAGGCCACGGGAGAGGATTTGTGAAAGGCAGTGAAGCGACACAACAGACGCTGGTAGGTCACATGATAACAACATGGCGCATGTAGTATGTCCAGATTACATTCATGCAGAACATACTTTTTTAGATGTCATGAAGTAATTACTTATTAGAAATAAGTAGGCTACCTACTCAGCTATGCAATTTCGGATACAGCCCATTAGTTGTCATGTGTCACCAAGACAGGGACTGTCCCATAGGCTAAAAGACGATGAGACTGTGCATGATAGCCTAGGCTACTTGAGATCGACCCAAGTTTATCATAAGTAAAAAATGCCTTAAATTTCAGTTTTCCTCATACAACCCTTTTATATACCTTCAGAAGAATTGCTCACATCGTGTGGACTACCTTTATGGTTTTAATTGACTATCTGGAAGCCTACTGAAAAAGTTAGCAGTAAATTTGCGTTAACGCCAAATAACCACTAGATGGTGCATAATGACACCAGTTTTTTTGTTCGTTCTTTCTCATTCGACTTTGAAAATCTGGGATTCAAAATGTAATTTTAACCATACTCGTATCATGCTGGAGGACATGATCATTAGGTTTTACACAGACTTCTGGAGTTCATGCAGCTCCTCCTCAGGAGAGCCAGAAGCTTCTGTTTTTAATAATTTAAAAGTACTATTGTGATGTAAAAGATACAATGTTATCTATCTAGCCTTATGACAACAATAATAATCAAAATGAGTTTGTTTGTTTGCTGGCAGTCGATGCTTCTTACCTTATTTTGGCTTCTGACACAAGAAAGACACATCAAGAAGCCAAACATACATAAAAGGCTTTACAAGTTTCCACTGATTTAAAGCTCAACCTGGGCCAGTGGAGTTTGATCTCAGAACACTCATTCAATTCTTACCAGAACAAAATTATCTGCTTCATGCTATCATTATTTTAAAGCTCTGTACCCTTACCTTTTTTTTAGTCCTCAGTTGTTTCTGTTTATTTCTCCTAAGCACTTTTTAGGTAGAAACAGACACATAAAAGATGATTATTTAATGAAACATATCTCAGAACTCAACTCTTGAATTATGAAAGCTCAACGTCTAATTAATAAAATTGGTTTTGTTAACAGATTTTGGTGTCAGTTGGGGCAGCAGGAATTAGACTTTGTAATTTGTCAAACAAGTTTTTACCATTTAGTCACCAAAATGCATAAGGATATACAGCAGGCCTCACTCTTGAACAGAATGGTAAAACACATCAGAAAGTGTTAAAGCTGTGAAACAACTCCATTCTGTCTGTGTACCTAATTAATCCTTAAAACATTAAAGGATGGCCCTAATAACATCTGTCAATGTATTTGAGTCTTTGGTTCTCATTGATACCGATCTCAGTCTTCATTAACTCTCAGTCTCAGCCAAAGAGCTCAAATGCAAAACATGTTTTCATTTAAAGTTGTTGCATTTTCAAGGCTCATGCGAATTAAGTCTTCACTCAGGATTGTGAAAATACATGGAAGAATGAGAACAGTCCCACACACTCGATAAACAAGCACATTGTGCTGTTTACAGAAGGATTCTGACCTCATTATATCACAGTCCACATGGTAGCTGAAAACCGCTCACTGAATCCTGCAGTATGTAAACTGTGACTTTTTTTCTCCATTTAAATTATAATTGATGGGCTAGATCAAATATTTTATGAATTATAAGACACTGTTTAACACACTTTCCAAAGCTGCACCTTAAAGGAACACTCCGACTTTTTGGGACTTTAGCCTATTCACCTTATCCCCCAGAGTTAAGGGTGTATTCACACCAGGAAAGTCCGATAGTTCACTTGCTTTGGTCCGGACCAAATAATTTTTTTTTTTTTTTTTTTGGTGCGGTTCGCTTTCACACTGCTCTTTTTGCAAGTGAACCAAAATTTGTCAACAAAACCACACGTGTGCTAAGGTCGTCCATTCATTGGACAAGGATTCTCAAGTAGGGAAATCAGGAAGTGCAAAAAAGGCTCAGCATGGAGATATTTCGTACTGCAATATTTGTTATTTTACTAATTTTGTGTTATTCTGTACAAACGCAATATGAAGAAACTGCGCAGAAGACGGATAAGGTATAAAGTTTTCATTCATAGAGAGGGGCTATGTTCACACATTCAAATAATGAGATTCTTATTGTATATAGGCTACTGCTAACAAGTGCTGTCAATGTTAACGCTTGCGATTTAAGTTTGTCCAGTTTAATGCAGCGTCATCCTTGTGTAACGGAGGCCAGCTAGTAGTTGCTGTGCGAGTAAACCTCACTCCTCTGATCTCAAAAGGCTCTCTAGCGACAGATGCTAGAGGCTGCAGTCTTTAGCCTCCTTGTTAGAGCGCCTGACTCTCATGCCGGAGACCCGGGTTCGAGGCCCGCTCGGAGCGGGTCAAGTGGGACCCAGGTGGAGGGGTTACATTGGTGCCGTGACCCGGATGGGAGTGAGGTTTAGGGGGGTGAGTGTAACGGAGGCCAGCTAGTAGTTGCTGTGCGAGTAAACCTCACTCCTCTGATCTCAAAAGGCTCTCTAGCGACAGATGCTAGAGGCTGCAGTCTTTAGCCTCCTTGTTAGAGCGCCTGACTCTCATGCCGGAGACCCGGGTTCGAGGCCCGCTCGGAGCGGGTCGAGTGGGACCCAGGTGGAGGGGTTACACTTGTATTGTAACTATCGTTACATTATATGAACTGCAAAAGCTTTTTTTGCATCTATGCGCGATTAGACTAAAGAGAACGCGCTGTATGTGAATGTCCTGATGCACACACTCATTCATTCATTCCATTCCAATGACGCACACACGGCGCGCAGAAAGACGCGCAACAGTATCGTGTGGCCAGACAGCGCGCCGGAATGGAATTCTCTTTCGCACTTGAACAACAATAACACAAACCATTATGCCAAAATCTCCGACTACGGAAGCCTTTTAACTCAAAGGCGCAGTGCTTTCTTGCAATTGGGTCGGTTCATGTTCACACCGTAAACGAACCGTACCAGAGTTCGTTTGGAACCGTACCGAGACCACCTCTTCAGCTGGGTCTCGGTTCGGTTGTTTGGTCCGCACCCGAGTTCGATTGCTGTATTCACACCTGCCCAAAAGGTCCGCACCAAGGGGGGAAACGAACTAGAGTTCGATTCAATCGAACCAAACAAGGCAGGTGTGAATACACCCTTAGATAAGTCCATACATACCTTTTTCATCTCCGTGCGTGCTATGTCTGTTTGACGCACCCACCGCTAGCCTAGCTTAGCACAAAGACTGGATGTAAATGGTTGCAGCTAGCATACTAATCCAAATAAGTGACAAAATAACGCAAACATTTTCCTATTTACATGTTGTGATTTGTATAGTCACAGAGTGTACAAAAAACAAAGTCACATGAGACACAGACATATTTTAACCGTATAAATACTGGGAACTATATTCTCTGAAGGCGAAGCACTGCTACTTGGGCGGAGTGATAACCGCAGCACCTGAGACGCGCTCTCTGCTCCTCACCACGGCTCGTCTCAGGTGCTGCGGTTATCACTCCGCCCAAGTTTACAGCTTTACAGTGATAACCGCAGCACCTGAGACGAGCCGTGGTGAGGAGCAGAGAGCGCGTCTCAGGTGCTGCGGTTATCACTCCGCCCAAGTAGCAGTGCTTCGCCTTCAGAGAATATAGTTCCCAGTATTTATACGGTTAAAATATGTCTGTGTCTCATGTGACTTTGTTTTTTGTACACTCTGTGACTATACAAATCACAACATGTAAATAGGAAAATGTTTGCGTTATTTTGTCACTTATTTGGATTAGTATGCTAGCTGCAACCATTTACATCCAGTCTTTGTGCTAAGCTAGGCTAGCGGTGGGTGCGTCAAACAGACTTATAGCACGCACGGAGATGAAAAAGGTATGTATGGACTTATCTAACTCTGGGGGATAAGGTGAATAGGCTAAAGTCCCAAAAAGTCGGAGTGTTCCTTTAAGGTAATTCAGTGATTGGGAGTTGATGTCATCAACCATGTGCTTTGGATTCTGCATTGATGTCACGATGATTGTCTATTTTATTAACCACAAGTGTGCCCTTTTTCTGTTGTGCAAGCATATAATTAATGACCTGTTGACACATTAGTTGTTCGTAGTGTCTGTTTGAGGAAATTGTGACTGATTGTAATATTTCCTAACCCTTTAATGATCAGTGGTTATTCGCACCGGCCTAGTATTAGTAGTAGTAAACAATTTTAATATCCATTTATCATTTTAAATACAGGGGATTGTTGAACTCATGCTCATTTAGAAAGCAATTAGTTTTTGAACCTACTCATTTTTTATGTTGAGCTCTATATATACATACAAAATGCAAACCATACAGATTTTTTTATTAAAATTCATACTTATGGAAATATTTATGAAATTAGGATGTGTACACCACCATGTATTCAGGTGTAGGCTATATATATTAATACTTTTTACTTGATGGTAACACAACTTTCAGATCTTCACATGGGTAGCCTATAGGCTACTCCACATCATTCAAGTCACTAAATCAAAACTTTAGTTAGAAATGGTATAAATATTCATTAAAAATATTTGAAACCAACATGAATAGATTACATTTGTATTTTGCACATGCATTTAAAACCAAATTGTTAAACACTATAAAAGTGTTTGCTGTTCCTAATGTATCGATGATCCAAATGAACAAATGTAGCATAGACATCAATTTTGAAATTCCATGCAGCCTATTTATATTCACTCCGCTGCCCAACAGTAGCCTGCATTCTTTCGCAAACATAGGCTATTTATCAACTAATGATTAACAAAATTCCTCTAAATCCGAGCGAGTGACTACACACTTAGTCTGTGCTTTTATGGTAGCACAACCTTTATGTTTTGTGAGTATAAAACGCCCAAAAATGTGTTTGATATATGTTGTTGGTGTGCTGGTCATAACAAGCGGAGTTTTTAGCCAAGACACAACAACCGTACTGCCAGAGGTTCGAGGTAAGCTTTATTTGTTCAGAAAACACACTCTTTTAACTCCTACATACAAACACAGCGTGTTGGATCTGTCCAAGCCTGTCTCTTTTCCTCCTCACCTCCCTCAACAGAAGTGTTTGCAGCAGTGGGTTCATCTGTGAAGATACCGTGCACTGACGGAGAGGAAAAAGGGGTGGAGTGGAGATTGAACAGCTCAGTGCTCGTCTCAAGCCCCGTTCTCTTCATACAGAACACTAGTTTGAAGAACCAAGGCATCTACACCTGCCACCAACCAAACGGAAACCTGATACTAACAGTATCTCTACACCTGGGATGTAGGTTTATGCATATTTTCCTTTATTTAAAGCTGTGTAGTCTGGTTAAAAAAAAAGAAAAAGATCTCACTATCCCAGAGAGCTTAAATTAACAATTAAATTGAAATTCCGTTCTGTTTGCGCTATTTAGATCCCCCTTCTCCTCCGGATGTGCATTGTTGGTCTCCAACTTACCCTAAAAGGGCCATATGTTCTTGGACACTGACTCCAGACCCAATACTTCCAACACACTATATTGCTACATACAGGTATGTTCCTGTACATTAAAATGCATTGGTATAATACAAGATGAGTTGTAAAATTGGCAAATCCGCAGTGGTGTAAAGTATTTGAGTAAATGTAATTAGTTAGCCTGCACTTAATCTTTTTGGCTACTTTTGACTAAGCATCAAAGATATTAGCAACTTTTACTCTATACTTGACTACATTTTTGAAAAAGTAAATGTACTCTTTACTCCAATACATTTGTGATGAGTAATGAAATTACTCCTTACATTTTGCATGGCACCTAATTATTTCTGCTACAGAAGAAGTGATAACGCCATCTACAGGGCATTGTGTTTTTTTTCCCTTATGAAGAACCCAAACTTGTCAAGGCTACTACACGGATTAGTTAGAGGTTTCTGAATCGCATGGTGTTTCATATGAGATGAGGACATGACCATAACCAGCATGTCTAGTGCAAGTAGGCTTTGACTAATTAATTGTACTTACTATTATTTTATCTAACCGTTATATTGAAGAGACCTTTTTGAAGGATATTGGTTTTCTTATGCCCTTTTTGAAAACTGGAGCTTAACTGAGACTTGAGTATTTTGTAGACTTTTTAAGAGGCTGTTGTGTCGACCTTGATTTTATTGCAATATTGAGGTGTTCAGTTTTATTTTAATTTTAGAAAATAAACATGTGATTGCTCTCCTCACAATTCACCGGTTTCTTGTTTTTCACTGGCATGTCTCTTAGGTGTTGAGGACTAGTGTATCTTTGAGCCTACATTTAGTCCGAGTAAAATACCTAATCCTACTGTTAAAATCAGATGCTCTATCCCCCCGGTTTCACAGACGAGGTTTTAGCCTATCCCAGACTAAAATGCATGTAGTTTGAGCTGTTTTAACTGAAAGCAACTTACACTGGCATATCTTAAATATGTCAGTGTCATTGTTTTGTCTCAAGATGAACACCAGTAATATGTTTAAGGCACATTTATAAAAGCTACTTTAATATCCTCCTAATCGAACTAAGGCCTAATCCTGCTTAATCTAAACCGTGTCTGTGAAACCATGTCTATAAGACTTTTACTCGAGTCATATTGGAATTGGTGACTTGTAAATTGTTACAATTAGTCATTTTCACTATAAGGTATCTGTACTTTTACTCAAGTATGGTTTTTAGGTCTTTACACCTCTCCAAATCTGTTTCAAATCTATTTAACGCTATATATTGTCTATATGAATTATCGTTTGAAGCTTCAAAAAGGACGTAAAAGCAGCATAAAAACATCATTAAATAGTGCATATGAAGTGTGCTCTATTCCAAGTCTTCTGAAGAATCTGTAATAGCTTCTGATTCATGAGCGAATCATTCAGATTGGTTTTGTGAACCAAATAAACTGATTAACTGAAAAGATCCAATTCAAAAGAATGATTTGTTCACGAATCAGACATAATTTTTCATGGATTTGGATTAACATGAGCGTTAGTGAGTAAATAAATAATGAATGTGTACTATTGCTTTATTTTAAATATTGTGCTGCAATTTATATTGCACCTGTTGTATCCATATAGACACCATATATCCATATAAGACACCATATATCTTTATGATTTACTATACATATTAAAATGTAGAATAATAGTTCAGAATATTTGCTTCTGAATTTAAATTTAGGAGTTTTTCAGAACCACTCTCAAGTGCCCGTCAATGCCACAAATGGGAAGAACAAGACAGGCAATGTGCGCTAGAGGAACTGGAGATCTTTGCAGGAGAACCAACTCTTATCAACATCACAGCTATTAATGCTCTGGGAAGCACAACACGCATATGGCCATTTATATTTGAGCAGATAGGTGAGCTTTTCATTGGTCTACCATTCCATTTATTCCACTGGTTTGCAAACAGTCTGCATTTTTATTTTTAAACATTCATATAATCAATACAGGAAAAATATCTGAAAAAATAAACAAAATATTCACATAAATATTTACTAAATGAAACGGCTGCTTTTGGAATATTTTCAAGGTCTTATCAATGTTCACATCTCGATGCATATGCCATGATTTCCTATTGAGTGTTTTAATCCCTGTCCTTGGTTGTGTTGTAGTGAAACCTGATCCTCCGGTGAATGTGAGCGTGATGGTAATGCCAGGCAAGAAGTTGTCTGTTCAGTGGGGTCCACCACCCACTTGGCCGGATCCTGTCAACTTTCTGCTTAAATACACAGTGAAATACCACTGGGGCAAACATGGGACAGCTAGAACTGTGAGTTTCCTGTGTAGACGGTGTTCTGCAGTGTTAAAGCTGTAAAGTACTAAAACAAAAATCACCAAACGGAACAATTAAAGCAGTATTTGCAAAGTTACCTCATACAGGAGGGAAATATTTCATTCTTGAACATTTTTTGTTTTCTAGCTTGGCCCTTATGAGTCTAGCAAAATGGTTCTGAGTGGACTGGTGGCAGGAAGGACTTATTACATCCAAATATCTGCAAAGGACTTCCTTGATGATGGGCGGACCAGTGACTGGAGTGCACCAATAAGTGCCACTATACCCATCAACTGATATGATGAATCACTACATTAACCAAAAGGGTTACGTTTCAATGTTTATTATTTCACCGAATTGTAACTTTGTTTATAAAGGCAATGATAACCAATATGCCAGTTCAATTTGCAGAATAAAAAAAAAAAAAAAGATGAACACCCAGTATAGCTCCATTTGTAAATAATCACAAAGCTTGTAAGCATCTCGAAAGTGTTCTTATCTAAACTGATTTTAACTGGTTTGTGAAACAAGAAAATCACACTTTTTCAAGCAGCAAATAAAGAACAAAAATGAATGCCAGTGTTTAGTAACACGTCTCTTTTTATTAAATAAAATAAGGGGTTTAAAATAATACTGGTGTTTTACCAATCTAACCCTTAATACACTATTATAATATTTAGTAAACATTTCATTTTAAGGTTAAAGTTTAAGTTTAGATTTTCATTAGTCTAATTGTCAGTTTGCTATGTAGCCTACTTATGTCATTTTTATTTTAGTTTAAAAAATATTTATATTATATAGCTTTAATTCATTTTAATTTTAAGTTTTAATAATTTTAGCACTTCAACAACTTTCAGCAACAACAACTTCAACTTATTATTGAATTTATTTTATTGAAATATTATTGAAATTATTATTTCAGTTAGTTGCCAACACATTTCAAATTGTTATTCAAAAGTTTAAGGTTATGTTTTTTCATTTAATATATATATATATATATATATATATATATATATATATATATATATATATATATATATACTCACCGGCCACTTTATTAGGTACCCCATGCTAGTAACGGGTTGGACCCCCTTTTGCCTTCAGAACTGCCTCAATTCTTCGTGGCATAGATTCAACAAGGTGCTGGAAGCATTCCTCAGGGAGTTTGGTCCATATTGACATGATGGCATCACACAGTTGCCGCAGATTTGTCGGCTGCACATCCATGATGCGAATCTCCCGTTCCACCACATCCCAAAGATGCTCTATTGGGTTGAGATCTGGTGACTGTGGAGGCCATTTTAGTACAGTGAACTCATTGTCATGTTCAAGAAACCAATTTGAAATGATTAGAGCTTTGTGACATGGTGGAAGTAGCCATCAGAGGATGGGTACATGGTGGCCATAAAGGGATGGACATGGTCAGAAACAATGCTCAGGTAGGCCGTGGCATTTAAACGATGCCCAATTGGCACTAAGGGGCCTAAAGTGTGCCAGGAAAACATCCCCCACACCATTACACCACCACCACCAGCCTGCACAGTGGTAACAAGGCATGATGGTTCCATGTTCTCATTCTGTTTACGCCAAATTCTGACTCTAACACCTGAATGTCTCAACAGAAATCGAGACTCATCAGACCAGGCAACATTTTTCCAGTCTTCAACTGTTCAATTTTGGTGAGCTCTTGCCAATTGTAGCCTCTTTTTCCTATTTGTAGTGGAGATGAGTGGTACCCGGTGGAGTCTTCTGCTGTTGTAGCCCATCCGCCTCAAGGTTGTGCGTGTTGTGGCTTCACAAATGCTTTGCTGCATACCTCGGTTGTAACGAGTGGTTATTTCAGTCACTGTTGCCCTTCTATCAGCTCGAACCAGTCTGGCCATTCTCCTCTGACCTCTGGCATCAACAAGGCATTTCCGCCCACAGAACTGCCGCTCACTGGATGTTTTTTCTTTTTCGGACCATTCTCTGTAAACCCTAGAGATGGTTGTGCGTGAAAATCCCAGTAGATTAGCAGTTTCTGAAATACTCAGACCAGCCCTTCTGGCACCAACAATCATGCCACGTTCAAAGTCACTCAAATCACCTTTCTTCCCCATACTGATGCTCGGTTTGAACTGCAGGAGATTGTCTTGACCATGTCTACATGCCTAAATGCACTGAGTTGCCACCATGTGATTGGCTGCTTAGAAATTAAGTGTTAACGAGCAGTTGGCCAGGTGTACCTAATAAAGTGGCCGGTGAGTGTATATATATATTATTATTAATTTCAGCTTTATTTCAATGAACAAAAATTATTGTTAATTGTTATGCTTTTTTTGTTAACAAAAACGATTATTATAAAACCATTCAGAATATAATTAAAGTAATAGTTCACCCAAAAAAAAAAAAAAAATCCAATGCACATTAATCGAAATTGCATGGGGACGAATTACTGATTTGACCAGTTCAAAACTTCTCATGATAGAAAGAATGAAGGTCAAGTTTTGAGTGTGAGTAAAGGATGACAGACTGTTTGTGTGTCTGAAATATTCATTTTAAAGAAAACAATTGATATGAATGAAACTGAAAGATACTTCTTATACTCATCTCTTTGCACAAAATCAGATGCCAGGTAGTGCCAAGATTGTGACTGTTCCAGATACTTCACTTTAGCGTTTCCCTTTTAACATAATTCATTGACATGTAAACAGCTAAATCCTGTTTTTATAGGTGCCAACAAAGCAGCGCATAAATTCAGTCTAATACGTCAACAATCAGTGGTGTTACAAACTCGGAATGACGAACACCCAGGGAGAAAGAGGGTGCACGAGGCAGGTGTGCCGTCACCTTCTCTGGGCTGTGCGTGCCTGGGCCAGGCTTCCTCGTGGCATCGATGGCATTATTATGACGGCTTTGCATGGAGAAAGAAGGCTGTCTGTTCAGGTAAACACTCGGTTCTGTGCTGTTGTACCGGCAGGGTCCTGGGGTCATGGACAGATCCTCCGATGGACCGCCTGCTTTCCTGCGTGCTGACATGGTGAAGCTGGCGCTGGAGGATTTGTGGGGGACGTGGGAGCCGAAGAGGTTGGGTAAGGTGTAGCTGTTGGGGGCGGGCACAGGATCCACACTGCGGTAGCGTGTGCGGAAGGCCATGGTGTAAGACGGAGGTCTGTGGTGAAAGCTCAAAGGTGGAGCTTTCTCAGGACTGTAGGCTCCTGGTCCAGGAGTCTGGAATGTATCCACTGATCAGAAACAGAGAATCAACAACTGCTTTATATGATTGTGTATGCCTTCTCGCTGCAGTTAGACTGTGTTACAAATTATTATGCACGTGACAGGTAGGATTTCAAAGAAAGCATCTTTTACTCAAGTATGGTTTTTAGGTACTCTTTGCAAATCTGTTAAAAATCAATTGAACGCTATATATTGTCTATATTAGTTTTAGTTTTTCAAAGAAAGTGTCTGTTTGTTTTATTTCTATCTTATATTTTTAGATAACTGGTTTGTTAAGTAGTTTGCCTGGTCTTTTTAGGTAAATGGAAAACCTACTGAAAGAGGTTCCACATTATTAAGCAATTTTCGTGCAATATATGGGGAAGAAGAAAGATCTTTCTGAAGATAAAAAGCATCAAATGGTGCAATGTCTTGCAAAAGGCATGAAAACAACTAATATTGAGCAAAAACTGCATAGAGATTATCAAACTATTAAAAGATTTGCGAGTGATTTAGAGCACAGAAACTTTCCTTTATAAGCCTTTTTCTGAACGAGTTCTTCTGTGCTCTAAAAAAACTAACATCTGAATGTTTATTGTACTGAAATCCTACTAATATGTCACTTGCATAATAATTTGGAACACAGTGTAAAGTGAACATGACATATAATGCTGTTTACTTTCTAAATACACATTACCATTCGTATTGTGCAAGATTCATCAGTGCAAATTATTGAAAAAGGAAGAAACATTAATAATTTCTCTGTTTCAACCCCTCCTGGCAATGCCCATTTTCATGATGCAACCAATCACAGATGAATCAAATCAAGTATTTTTCTCATTCATCTTTCCCATAGGGATTTTTAAAAAAAGTCTTTATTACAGAGTTATAAGTCATGAACCACACCAACCAGCTACAGGGTGAATCAACATTACAAACTTTGATTTGAAGAAAACAGTATTTGAAAATCGGACTAAAAGACAAACACATACAGAGACAAATACATACAACTATTTTGAGAGCATATAGGGACAGTGACTATTACGTCATTCGCAGTTGTCCTTCATGTGAGAGAATCTGCTGTTTAACACGATTATTTAACAAGTTGAATTAATGTCCGCTGTTGGCTTCAACAAAAACATATACATTAAAAACCTCATAGCTCACAGTAAAGGTTATCTTTAAAAATCAAAGAAAAAAGTTATCTTTGATTTCCTTTACGGAGAAAACTAATGTGATTTTCTACTTCCGCAATCTGACAGATGGACTATTGAATATCCTGTTTTATTCAGAAATATGTAACATTAAAGAAGTAAAACTGGTTGACATGTTGTGTTCTTTTTAAATGAATATAACCAGACCTGGACTTGTTTTTAACTTTCAGTTACGAAAAGGTCCTGGATAAAATAATAAACATATGTTTAATAAAAAAGGTGAAAACATGATCAGATCAGATCAGACGAAACCCCACCTGTCTTCTTCTTTCTGCCCAGCATGGAATACGACGGGGTACCGTCTCTGCCAAAGCGTGTCATTTTTCCGTCTACATGATACTGCGGCCCTGGACTGGAATCCACAGACACCACTATTCAAAAGCAACATTACAGGAAAACACACCAGAATTTCCTGAATTACATTTTGTAGACATGCAAAGCAACACGAATTTATAAGGCTCAAGCATTCCCTGCAGTGACTAGTGCTGCGTTTGAGCACCAGAAATGCTATTTAACATTAATTAAAATCCAACATATGGATCAAAATCAAGCATGTGGATTTTATTAGCTTAATATGCCAGAGAAATCACATTTATCATTTTATTGCATGCCGTTGTTTGTGATATAAAGTCCAGATGTGTGAGACTTTTTTTTAAATAATACTTTGATCAAACTGGGTGTTCTCAATCCCCTCCAATTCCTTCCAAACAAGTGTTACATGTCACTAATTAGGTGTGTAAGTGTGTGCCTGTGTGTGTAAATCCACCTACTATTTCAGTACTACAATGTAGACACTAATTAATCTATAAAATTATCAGTCCGTATAAGTGCCATGTTGATATATATGTACTTTCTGCATGAACAAGCATGTTAAAAGCATTCTCAAGTGATTAAACCCAGCATTAGTTCAGTGGATCATGTCATCTGTCAGTGTGAGAAGTGTTTGATTTCATGTTATGTCACTCACTGTTGCTGCTCATGCGGCTGTGGAAGGAATAGGCCGGGCTGCTGGGTTTGGTGTAGTCATGGTTTATGTAACCGATAGTGGGCGGAAGAGCATAACGCCCAGGCCCGGGCCCTGCAGGCATAAACAAAAACAAGGTGTGCAGAGCCTTTTAGCATTTATTACTGGAATTGTGTTGGGCAATGAATGGAAAATAATGTGTATTAGTGAACATTATATGGGGTAAAAAGAGAAAACTTGTCATGTTACTACTGGGACTTCCTGGTAAAATAAAGGTAAATAATAAAGAAATGATGGTTGTATTTATAAACAGGGTTATTATCACTACTCTAGAACGATTAAAAACATTTTTATTAAATTAAATAAAGATTAAAAACAAACTAAATGAAAATTAGAAATGTTGTAACAAAAATGGAAAACTGGAAATAAATAAAAACTAAAACTGAAATAAATAATAGTAATAAAAAATGACAAAGGTGCATAATAAAAGTACTAAAAATTAAAATGAAAACCCAAAATATAAAAATAAAAGCTAATTCAAAATATTAATAAAAAACTATAATAGTTTATAAATAATACTAAAATAACATTGTAATGACTTATTACAGATAAAAATGTGTCTGCTACAGGCTGATTAATTTTGTTAGTCAATATAAGTTATACATCTGCTAGCTATGTTCCTCATAGTCACTTCCTCTTTTTATTAAATCTAAAATAAAACTATGGAATGTGATTCATGTGAGACATAAAAGGTCACACATGCTGTGCACATTTCTAAAGTCCAGGAGAACCTTGGCTGTAAACTTTCATTTGAAATCTTAAAGATTTTTTTTTTTTTTTTACACAGTTAAATGTCACACAAGCTTTTTAAAGCTTTGGCCAAAAAAAAAAGAACAGACAAAAGAGGTTCTATTCTCAGAATGATACAAGCAGGTGTTGCAATAAAAGACCTAACTGACAGTTTCTTTCATCAAACTGCCAATCCACTCTCAAGAGCCAAATAGAAGCATGTTTGAACTACTTACAGAGCCCTGCGCTAAAATAAATCGTCAGATCTCCTCGCTTTGCTGAATAATTCTTTCGACACAATCATTTGTACAAATGAATCTACTGAAAAGAGCGGTCACACACTTACCTCGTTCCCTGCCAGCAATGATGGGCCGCCGTCTCACCACTTCCCCCATGCCGCTTATATTTTCTGCCTAGCTTAAAGAGCTGACAGCAAAATCGGCAGCAAGAGTGCTCAAGGAGGTCCAGTAAAGGTTGAAGTTTCAGTTTAGACACACTGGAGAAATACAACTGCGGCCTGAATTATAAATGAATCTTACAAGCACAAGAAACCTTACCCTTGTCCAGGCTTCAAGAACTTCCATCTCAATATCTTTACGCATAACAGATTTCCAAACATCCATCACTGACTACAAAGGACACCTACAGTTACACCTTGGCAACTTATGTGTAAACGACAGCTAATGAACTAATTACACAATGTGAGACGGTCAACAACTGTGTGAAATTACTAATAGATCCACTTTATTCTTTGAGGTAACAAGATTATATATTAATAGCCGCCTGAAGAAGTGTAAACACTAAGAGATATTCTGTACTTCATTCCATCAACTTGTGATATAAAAATATTGGTAGCACTTTACAATAAGGTCTGATTTGTTAACATTAGTTAATGCATTAACTAACAATAAGCATTTTTTTACAGCATTTATTAACGTTAGATTAAAAAAAATTCAGTTACACTTTATTTTAAGGTGTCTGTGTTACAGTGTAATTATACATTTAAGTACTGAGTATTAATAATTAACTATATGTACGCACAGTAGGGATAGGGTTAGGATTGGGGTTTGGTTTGGGATTAGTTGCATGTAATTATGCACAATTTATAGTTACAGTAACTACATGTAACACGTGTAACAAGGACACTGTAAAATATATTGTTACCAAAAATATTAACAGATGCAACTTTTGATCTTAAAAATGTTTCACACTTTAGATTAGGGCCCGATTCTCACTATTAACTAACTATTATCTACGCATTTTGCCTTAATAAACTCCTAATAACTGCTTATTAATAGTTAGTAATGTACTTTAGGTATTGAGTAGGATGTAGAATATGGTTATGCAAAATAATGCATTATGCGCTTTATAAGTACTAATATCAAGTCAATATCCTAGTTATATGTATGGTAATAAGCAACTATTAATAGTGAGACCCTAAACTAAAGTGTTAACCACTTAAAATGTAGTTAATCAATGTTAATAAATGAAACCTCATTGTAAAGTGTTAGTGAAAATTTTCCACCACATTCATATTTTAAAGGGTGCTATCAAATTTTTCTTTTTTTAATTAAAAATTAATGACAGTTCAATAGGTTAGTGGGTGAAAGTAAAGTGGGTGAATCCTGATAGAGAAAACATCAAATTGATTTGTACGTTGACAAACTCGCTGTTCCCATGGACACCTTCAACTAGTACTCAAAACAAATGAAACTTCTGGAAACATACTCTTGTTTCGGTGGCATAGTTTTACAGTAGGAAGTCCCATATCACGTTACTCTGATTTAACAGTGTGAAGCTGCTTCAAACAAATGATGCAGTGCTTTAAAACAGTCTGTTTCTCTTTAGCAGCTCTAAACTGATGAAACAATGTGTAAAAAATTTAATATCAAGCTAAGAAAGTCTTGTGAAAGCAGAGATGCCATTCCTGACCAGTGAGCGGACATTAAAGGAGAACTCCGGTCAATTTTAACATTGAGCTAATTTTTTTGTACATTTGGAGTGCTGTCAGTACAGACAAAAACGACAAAAATCGGTGTTGCCTACACTGTGTTATCCTCTTTTTAAAATTCGCACCCTGTTGCCTTCAATGGGGCAAATTCTAAACCTGCTTTTAGCCTCTTAACAACCTTAATGTGTCATTACAAGTGCACAGCCATGTGAGTGGTGTTATTAAGAGTGACCACGGTCAATCTGACTGCAGTAGATGTGAAAGGTATTAATAAAAAATGATGTTAATTCAGCCAGCTCACATACCTGTATTTACTTCCTGTTTTCGTTCGAAGTCCACAGTAGTCGATTGTCGAGTTCGCGCGCGCGATCATTAGTTATATTACCATTCTATATTATATAATATATTATTTTATATTAATATAGTTATATATTGTTACCAATGATCGCGCGCGCGAACTCAACAATCGACTACCGGAGTTCTGCTTTAAACATTAACCTGCTCTATCTCAGACTCGTGTAGAAGCAGGTAACACTACAGCTGAGCTCTGGCATGCAGCCTGAGAGGACTAAAGAGCCGTAGGTTAAGTTGCCTTAGAGTTGAGGAAATTAAGCTCAATGATTTTGCATCTAAACAGATCGGTCACCTGGTTTGCATCATTAACTCATCATCAACATACATTCCAAGAGTTTGATACCTTCAGGGCTTTAAATAAAAAGCAGGGAATGTCATTCTGCGACTTGATACTGAGCATATTATTGATCTCTGTTCCATGAAAGTGCTCGAGGACTCACTTTACAAACACTTATTTGTGAAATAATACTCCAATAACAAGTACAGAGATTATGGTTACAGTCAGGGTCATTGTCAGAAGAGCATAGAGCATCTTTTATTTTATGAACCGTATTTATTTGAAGTCACATGGCTGTTAAAGGAGGACTCTAAACCCAATGGCCTAAAGCGTTTTATTTTTTGTTCTTTGTGGGTGTCACTTAGGGAAAAGTGAAATACTGACCGTGGAAGAGGCCAGTGTAAGAGCACTAATTTAACCAGACAACTGCTCGTACACACATTCATCTTTTTCCCTGTAGAGAATCATGCTCTGGCAAAACACTTCTGCTTTGTGCAGTTGTGATTTGTGCTTCTTTTCTCTTGTATTGTATTGTACTTCATAAAAAGTTAAATAAAACATTTCAAAATCAGTACTGTTGTCCTGATTTCTAAATAAAAATTATCTAAACATCCATAAAGATAAATAACCTTGAGGGGAAAAGGGAAAAAAAATTGTTGTAAAAGTTGTAATGTATAAAAAGTAAAGTAAAAAAAAAAAAAAAAAAAACTGACCCTAATTGTTTTAGCATACATCTAACAAAATGTATTGATGTTAAAGCTGAAAAAAAGAAAGAAAAAAAGATTCCAATGTGGTAAGAAGAACTTACATTCTCTGAAAACACATTTATTTCTGAAGTAGAATTTTCTTGCTTTATATGATTCCTAGACAAGTTTATAAGACAAAAATACTGATTTTGTTCTGTCAAGAAGTTCAAAAGTTCATACGTTTTATCTTAAAGAATGATTTTATGGACAATATTAGGGTTTAACAATTCAGTCAATAATAATATAATCTACCTACACATAACTTAAGAGTCAAAACATAACTTTAAAATTAAATATGCGGATACAATTCAGTACAAAAATAAAAGCAGTAAAATGTCTCAATACATAAAATTATTTTCAAACAGTTCAATGCTACAAACACAGTTACAGTTTTGTAACTGCAACACATATATAAACACGAGAGAGAACATTGGCTGGCCATAACTTTCCTCTCCATTCATTAAATGGAGTCCACTGAGTTTCCAACATGTTAATTTAGTGTAGATCCTGAATATAGTGAATGTCAGAGGGTCCAACATTAGAACTGAGTTTCAAACGCAACGGGTCTTTTTCTATGGATTGATATGTTCAGCATTGCATTGCAACTTTTGATAGGCCATGTGCCGGTTACTAAAAGAAACAGGAGATTAAAAGTGGCAAGATGTTCTGTGAGGTATACCTGTCCATTTTTTTAGGTAAACTGCTGTCATATAGTCACAACTGTCACACTCAAACATTCATGAAAGGTACCTTTGGTAAAACTGGATGGTCTTACAATTCTTCCAGTTGTCTTGAAGTTACACAAACCATTGGCTGAAAAACATCCAGACATTTTTTCATTTGTCCATGAGGAACCTCTTTAACATACAGGTCAGCTAAAGTTAGCAAGATCTGAAAACGTCATGGGTCCACATATAGACTATGTGTCACGTCAGCTAAGCATTGCTCAAGTGTGGCCATCCTCTAAGTAAATGTGCAAATTATGACCTGTAATTAATTGCTCCCCGACACGATCAAGAACTTGTCTCCACGGATAGCGAGATGCGAGGATATAATCCACATGATCTTCATGGCTATTATCAAAGAAAGACGTTTAACAGTTTGTTTTCCTGTATAATAAGGCGTTGTAGAGAACTGCACAATTCAATCTGTGTCCAAGGGACCAAATGCCCGTCACCTTTGTACTTTAACCAGCTGTACTTTAACTTCCTTGCACTGAGCCAAGCAGCGGTCTGGAAAATGTGAATTCTTCCACAGTGTGCTGTTGTTGTTAAATGTTCTGCCTGCCAGGAGCGACGTGCTATGATTTATCTCCTTGAAGAACCTGAAAGCAGACAATATTACAGTAATCAGATAAACGCCCCAGAACACGAAAGGCTTCAAATAGCCATTCAAAAACAACCCGAGATCATGGGTTCTGCACGGATTGAGATGGCAAAAAAAGTAGCTAAGAAAAGTCTTTGCATATTTGCGGTTTCGAGATTTAGATATTCTTAGTATAATTGCTAAGGGGTTTATCTCTTGTTGGCAACGTAAGATCATCCAATATGATGCAGTTAGATCTTTCCATACGCTCTTCTGTGATGCTGACAAGCATTTGGGTCATGTTTTCTCGTATAACACAGACCACAACACACTAGGGACACATGAAAGGAGCAAATAGTCTCTGCTGGGTATATTCTCGAGTGAAGGACAAACCCTGTCATTTCCAAAACAAGATTACTGTGGAATCTGACAGATGTGAACTCCGAACTAAATACATATGTTGAATGATACTCGACGTGCAGAACTTCATTACTCAAGTTTATTGAAATAGTCCGGTTTACTTCAATGGTTTATGAAAAGTTACCTGAAATCATATGAGTCGCCTCATGTTATTTACTTCTGTGGTTACCGAGCAAAACACAGGAAACTCAGTACAATAACACAAGAAGCACTTTAATTCAATTAACTCGGGTAACTCCAATAACTCAAGGCAATGGATCCAGTCTCACAGTGTTATGAGAGCAAATATTCCTGGCATAACACAGTTAAAGAAACTAAAGCTGAAGAAAACCAGACACTTAAACCGTGATTAATGGGGTTTGTGGTCAAAAAACAAGTAGAATGCGAATGAAAATCTCCTTACCAACCTGGTTGCGTGTTTTGTGAGATTTCTGCAGCCAGACCCGCCACTGATCATAAAGTTTGATGCTCATCCCGCTGCAACCATAGGCGTGTTTGCGCACCCAGCCAAAGAACTGCTTTAAGTCCCGCCGCAACGTGGAGTTCTGCTGCCCTGCCTTTGAGTCACATGACCCTGTCAGCAGCCGCTCTGCAGGGTGAAAGACAAAAATCAACACATGTCCATCCAGGGAGACGAGCGCCTATCGTGCATGCATCAAGCTTATCACAGATACAGGCCACAGTTTATACAGCCAACCAAACACAAGTTTGGATAAAAATAAATCCTTTTCCATTTTAAATAAACAGCAGGTTTCTGAGCTCCAGATGTGGGCCGCTCCAGAAGAGTTAATGTGCAGAGGAGTTAATCTGTTAATCTTCAGAAACAATCCTCTGAAAACATATATCCAACACTCCCCCGTGGCTCTCTGGCAAGCCACAAAATGGGGAGATGTATGACTAAAGTAATGCGTTGCATGTGCTGGTTGGTGTCTGCTGGACCGAGCATCGTCTCGGAAATATGTATCTGATTATAGGATGGACTGCACGACACATCCAAAATGTGAAAATATGACGAAGGCCAGCGAAGACAACATCTCAATCTGACTCTCGTTGCTACCATTTAACTGGAGACGCTGGCTATATTTATTTATTTTCTATGTTTGTCATTGATAACAAAAACAGTCAAATAAGACGGGAACTAATTGGATTTGTATTTAAGTTGAGCTGGAATCAAACTCATGTTTCCCACATGAGGCCTATTGCCCATTTTTAATTTATATAATTTCATGATCTACATGAATGGAAATTCAAATACAATTAAATAGCTACAAGAAGAATGCATGATGTTTTTTTTATTTTTATGTTATGTATAATATGTTAATAGTGATTTTAGAATTGATAAGTGCCTAAACCCCTTAAAATGTGGCTTTTTACTACAGGTACATTTTTAAGTTAAATTCCTTAATCTCGTACACTTTGAGAACTCAAAATTAAGAGCTCCAACCCATGTTCAGTGGGCTTTTATAGAATGAGTTGGTAACACTTGTGTGTTGGAATATCCCAGTCCTCTATGTCACAGCTTCAAATGGTTCAAAATCCTGCAGCCAGATTTTTAACTGGGGTCCGTAAATGAGAACATATTATTCCAATTTTAATGACTCTCAATTGGTTGCCAGTGGATTATAGAGTTGAATTTAAAGTACTGCTGTTTGTTTTTAAATCCCTAAATGGTCTGGCGCCTTCTTATTTGTCAGAACTAAACCTGAATAAGCTGGTCAGATGCTTGAGATCCACAAACAATAATACTCTGTCTCATCCGAGAACAAGATTGAAGTTGAGAGGCGACCGTGTGTTTGCAGTTTCTGGAACTAGGCTATGGAACAGTCTTCCTTTATCTGTGAGATCTGTACCCTCTGGGTATGAGTTTAAATTGAAGTTAAAGTCATATCTTATTACCCAGGCATTTAAATCATCATAAACTATGTGCTTATTTTAATTATGTGTTTTATATATATATATATATATATTTTAGACTTATTCTCTCTACTGCACAGTCAACTATTGTTGAGTTTATTTGTGCTTTATAAATAAGGTAAATAAAATGACTTTACAATAAGGTCCCGTTAGTTAACGGTTAGTAACTAACATCAACTAACAATGAGCGATACATTTGCTACAGTATTTATTTATCTTTGTTTATTATTTTTCATTGTTAACTAATGTAGTTAACCAAGTTTTTATTAAAGGGGCTAAATATGAAGAATTCAGAAACCCTTGTTATTAGCGACACCGGTGGTCATTAAGTGACCTGCAGCCTGCATATATATATACAGTATGTACTGCACGCTTTTTAATAAACACACAACAAAAATGACAGCGGTGAGAAAGCAGCAGTTAAGAAAGCATCTGATCATATGTTCTCATCAATTGGAGAGATAATTCCTCTCCAATTCACCGGCATCATGCCGACAGATGAGGTAATTAAAATTACACTGTTATAATAGTTTGATTATAAAGTAGGCCTATATTTGAGACTATTGTCTATATAGATCTGGCTATGTGAGACTATAGTTTGAATTAATCTCTTTTCTTTGCATGCCACATTGACAGTACAGAATAGCTCTTTCAGCACTATCCTGAACAAAAACATTTGTTTCGTGTGTCATAGAACGGATAAGAGGCTCTCGGGAGCGTGCATAAAAGTCACATCCTTTTGATTTTCCCGGAAAAAATGTCCTTCACATAAAAATCGGTCTACAGGCTTTCATAGACAACCTAGGAGGTCGAGGAAGGTCTCGTTTTTTAAGTTGTTACAAGCTGTTCACACATTGCCAATAAAAAAAGTGATTAATACATGAAAATTCTTACATATAAATAAACAATACTTTCGCCAAGTAATATGGTTCATTAAACATTGCCAAGCAACACAAAAATGACACATTAACATGGAATGTGTGACCATATGTGTGCATTTTAATAATGTGGCTCATTCAATCAAGACTTGTTTTATAATTTCAATCTATAACACAATTTTGGTTGCACTTCATGTTACAGTCCTGTTTCACATGTGCATATACTATACTTATTGTAGTAATTACAATAACTGGGTAATAGCTAGGCTTGTCCTGAACCTAACCCTAACCCATGTAGTTACGTTATATTACTCAGCACTTTCTTGGTAAGTACATTGAAAGTGCACGTATGGTAAAATAAAGTGCAACCACAATTTAAAATGTTTTTTTGCAAAAGAGCAAAGTGATACCTCTGTACTTTGATGTTTACCATGGTATTTACCTGGTACTTTAAGAAATACCATGGTATTAGCACTGTAAACTTCTCAATAAAATAGGTTCCGCTAAGTCCCCGCTTTTGCAAGGATAGCGTAAATGATATTTCTCTTACCACTGTGTGGTGTTGAGGCTGCTGTTGGGTGACTCCAGTCACTCCAAATGCCTGCTTTCCTAGATCCCAGAATCCCAACCGGATTACAGCGCACCTGCACAAAATACACTGTGCCTGGCCGCAACCCTGCCAGTCTGCAGGAAGTCTGGTTCCCAACATCATCCACCACCTGCAGAGAAAGACACCCAAAACATACTGTTACATCAAACACATACAGCGGCCGCATACCACACACTCACCGTTACCCTAACGGGCATATTTAATGTTCTCTATAAGAAAAGAAAAAAGCCATTCACTTTCAAATCCTTAAGCAAGTTCACACAAGTCCATTTACAATGAAGAAGAACAAAGAAATTTCCCCCTTTTGTGCTCCTGGGGAATATACCAACGTATATCAGAGAAAAAGACAGGAGGTAAATGACATAAATAATTGGCCTGCCTCCTGGCTCTACATATACACAGTGAGCATCAACACTACCCTGAGAGAAAATCTATTATCTATTACTTATTACAGATTGAGTAATTGCACGGGTGCAGACGGCATCAACGAGATGTAGACAGGGCCATGCCAGGTTCAATGCTTCCTCCTTCCTGTGTGCTAAAGCAGAGGTATACTTGGGATTCAAATGCAGGAATGTCGAAACAGCCTGGGCCCCCTGTAATTATTTACAATCCCGGTACCCCTGAATCAGTCCCTCTCCGCGGTCCATTTCCAGACTCACATTTCAAAAGCTACAAACACGGTTAATATGCACAGCTCCGTAATCCGAGGACCATCATTACTATTGGAACGTGATGAGTGGCAGAATGTTAACATCATCAGGTTGCCGTGTAACAGGCATGCTGGGTAATTATTTCCCTTCGTACAGACTATGTAAGCAATCTGTGGGGTTGAGAACGGCCCGGGTGATAATGCAGCTTTCTAACGCGCTTTGAAAACAACAGATCATCTTCTCTGATGTGCTTTTGATGGTCACTGTCATATTTTGACTTTGTTAACTATGTAGGACTGTGCAACTGGCAGCACAGTGATGGGCAAGGGGGGAAAAAATTATGTAACCCAACTCTGCCCAGCTTCAGAAGGAAACCTGCCAACTGATTGGATCCATATGAGCGAAATGGGGACAGCGAAAGCTTAAGTTTATTTGAAGCCCTAAAGTTTAACCGGACTCTTCCGTGGCCAGAGGACTGGAAACCATGTGCTGTTCTGCTACAGCTGGAAATGACGTTTCAGACAAGTAATACAAACACCCCAAATTCTACTGAAACATGGCTGTTATCTTTTGAACCGCTATAATTAATCATTGCGCCACTCTGCAAATGCTTTAACATTGGGAAACGTAGCTGACTTAGCTCCCATGCATGAACAATTTGCACTACAAAAACAAGTGGGTGTGGTAGTGGGAAGATGGTAATAGTAATGAGGATAATGGGCATTGTAGTGCGTATGGTGGACGCTGACTAACTGTGCTCACTGATCGAGAGTGCTACTGTACCTTCCAGTCGATGCTTTCCTCAAGTCTGTATCTGATCTGGTATTTGGCCTGAAAGAGGAAGTCTTTTAGTGCAGGCGGTGTCCCCCAACGCACGGTCAGCTGGTCTTCCAGGTCGCCCACTCGGCTCACTGTCACGTCAGTCGGTGGGTCTGTTGTCACTGGGAGAGGAAAAGAGAGAAAAACATAGGATAAGGTTGCGACAAACGCTGCGACAAAAAGCACCTTATTCTATCCATCCATCCATCGTATTGTAATTAAGTTGAATTAAGTCTACTGCTTTACATTCAAATTACAATTCTGCATCCTGTTTATGAACTGTATGAAATAAATAACACACTAATAGACTGGCACAGAAAAATGTATTCATATAAGTGTCACAGCAGTCTAAATTGTACAGAAAACACAGAAAGACTGAATGTGTATAGATTTTGTGATCACAATTTATATCTATCCATAACTACCGATTATTGTAATATATAGTTCTGGTCTCATGGATATCTAGTTTACTTGCTACTTAAGTGGCTCAAAAAAAGAAAAAGAAAAAGATGCCACAAACCTTAAAAATGTTGCCTTGTGATTACTGTATCCGATAAATTGCATCGGATCTTCAAAAAAAAAAAAAAAAAAAAAAAAAGTGTGCGTGCCTTACTTCCAGTTTGCAAACCAAGCCGATCATTTTGGAACTGGTGATGTCAGGAAGCTATATCAATTTTTTGTGTGCAATTTGCATGGGCAAACTGGTCAATGAATGAACTTCAGTCTGCAGGCTGAGACTTTTGTTCATGTGATTCAAATGAGATTAAATATACCAATATTCTTCTCTAGTTAACTAGTTGCTCAGTATTTTGCATTTTGGTGTAGCTGCTATAAAATCACATTGCATAGATAATACTTCACATTCCAAGTAATTGTAGTTTGCTTGGATCTCAAAGCTGTTGTTTAATTAACTGGAAACATAAATGAGCATTGTCTCTGTTGCTAAGGAGGTGGAGGCACTAGGTGTGGTGGCTGTGTCATAACTATGGCATGTTTCGAGAAGCACCCACCTTCCTCTTACTGCACTTTCCATTCAAAATTGCCCTGCCTCCCCCTTCAGGTGCAGTTACACTGATTTATACAAGCAGGATGTAAAAGTTTATAACCTTTCTCATCTCCTTTTTAAGGAGGCGGGGGCTTTAGTTCAATGTTAAGGCTATTTCAGTTTAATTTCAAATGCTTTCTAATGTCTTGCCAAGACACAATGCCCCTCGACTTAAGTCCTAACAATACTAATTCCATTTTTATTAACATGTTTGTAGTTTAAAATGTCTGTTTGAAGAGATTATGTGAAAGCTTGGCCTGCACTCAAAGCACATAAGATCTTAAGGATTCAACAAAACAGACTTCACCCTATTCCAGTCACATTGCTAACCAGTAGCTCCAGGCAGGTCACGGTACTAGGATTAGTGCAAAACTTTGTAAAAATTCCACTTGTCTGTAAAGGAGGGGGCTGCAAGGTTTTTCAGGTATGTGCGAGTAGGTGGGTAGATACTGTGAGGCAAAGGGATACGGATGCCGCTGCGATGGACCGCTGCAATTCGTCATGCCTCCACCCAGTTTTACAAGGAGTGGCGCTCTCACGTTGCACGTGGTCCTCTCGTATTGCATGCTGCCCATGAGGAGAACACCTGGGGCTTGTGTCTAAAACGGGGTCAAAGGTCAGGCACACTCACCCACGTCTAAGATATCCAAGTAGATGACATCAGATGTTGCAGTTCCGAGTTGGTTAGATGCCTCCACCCATATCTCGTAGGGCGTGAAGAGGGCGAGGTCGCGGGGGATGTAGCATGTGTACGGCTCTCCCGCGTTGTAGTCCTCACACTCCTTTTCTCGTCCATACCACCTACACGTGAGCAAACACGGTTTATTTTCTAAAAGGTTCCAATAACTTGTTGGACACTGTACATTCGTAGTGATACGGCTGTGATCTATTGTGGGTTCCCTATGTGAAGGCTTTTTTTTTACATTTTTTTTTATAAAGCCAATGGAAGAACCAATCATTTAGTGTCAAATGTGGGAATGGTTCCTTAATTCTGGATTATTACTTCAGGTTTGGGAATGGGGAAATGAAAATTGCTGTGCCTGGAATCTGCATTCCATCTGCTCACTGGGCATGAAAGCCAATGTTCATTAAAAAAACAAAAAATAAATATAAATATACAAATAACAAAATGCAAAAGAAAATACTAACAAAAATGTTAAGTAATTAGAAGTAATTGTTTTCATCAGTCTTTCGCCCTGACAAAAAAATTAAAAAAGAAAAGAAAAGTACAATATATGGCATGTGCCCATCAGAAGGAATTAGGAATTATCCACTGTCCTCCAGTGAATAGGCATGTGGGAACATGAAATATACAAACAAGATAAGGCGTGAATTTGAGAAGAGGCATTAACATGAGTGTGAATGACCTGTGGCACTGACCTGAGCTTATATTTGAGTGTGTATTTTGTCTTGATGAAGGTTTCTCCCTGGCCCCCAGGGGCCCATCTACAGGTGAGGTCTTTAGTGTTCCTGGACCAGCAGGTAAGATTCACAGGTTTCTCAGGAGGCACTAAAAACAGAAAAAAAAAAAGAGTTTTCACTGAGCTGTCAAAGTGAGTAAGTGGAAAGTGACTCATGCCTCTCATAACACCTAATTAAAGATGCACTAATTATACTTGATGATTTCCACTACATACAACACCAAATTCTGTACTGTAGATAGTATGGAAAATCACTTAAAAGCTTGATGTTCAGAATTTCAGAAAATAATCAGTTGGTTTTAAGTCAACATGAACAGTGTTTGAAACCCATTTTTACTTTTGAAGGACGAATCTTGATTTTATTCAGTTGGTAAAGATACACATTTATATTTCATATAAATATCTTACATTATATTTAGTATTTTTTCGAACAAAAAAATGATATTTGTATATTATATATTTGATCTATTCTATATATTATTTTATACATAGATAATATTATAAATAAATAAAATTATCATGATTTTTACAAATATTTGCAGTTTAAACAAGTAAAAACAAGAAATGTGTCTCGACCATATCATTAGCATATTAGAATGATTTCTGAAGGATTGTGTGACACTAAAGACTGGAGTAATAATGCTGAAAATTCACCTTTGCATCACAGGAATAAATTACATTTTAAAATTCATCAAAATAAAGGAGTTATTTTAAATTGTAATAATATTTCACAATATTACTGTTTTCTCTACTCTATTTTTTATCAAATAAACTCAAAGCCTTGGTGAGCATAAGAGATTTAAAACGTCTCTTAAAAATAAGTCATTTCAAAAGAAAAGAATTTAATGAATGTTTAAATACTGCTTTTTTTGGAGTAATTCTGCACAGATGAATCATTCACAATAAGATATTAAGAAACGTGTATTAAGAAAGTAAATAGGGTCAATTTTGACTTTGTGTTGACTTTAAATATTTTCAATAATGGATGAGTGTCTTCAGCTGTCATCCTCATTTAAGTTCAGGAATGGGGCCAAGATTCCATTCAGCTGAGAACAAAAGACACTGCGTCTAAGTGTAAGACTGTGATTATATGAACCAAACCTTACAGTGGAGACCTCAGAGACATAGAGAGCTTGAGTCAACACAGTACTTCTCACACACACACACACACACCTCTCCATTTCTTGCTTTCAATCTTTTTTCCAAATGACCAGACACTCGCTTCCTTGACTTTGTCTCGCTCTCTCAATTTCCGCATTTGTGTGTGTGTGTGTGTGTCTGTGTTTGCAATTTTCCATACTGCCACCATTCCATGTAACTTGACAAATGCTGTACATTTGTTCTGTCATACGTGTCAGTCGAGGAAAGCGCCTATAATGGACCACACAGGTGCTAAAAGCATAACAGTGGAACAGATAGCTATCTTAAGGGGCTTAAACAACTCTCGAGTTCATTGGCGGACAGGCAGAAAACATTAAATACTGCAACAACTGTGGGCCAGTGGCAGGGGGTCAAATCATAAAGACCGTCTAATACTTCTAGGTCTGACCTATATTCCCCAAGGCTCCAAGCTTACCCACAAAATCCATTTAATTATATTTAAGTTGGACAGCCTTCACAATCGCCAATTAAACACACTCCGCAGTAAATGCGAACAATATGGTAGACAAGACTCACTGCCAACATAGATGCAGGAGCCGGCCAGCACATGACCCCCGCTGTTATGGCACACAAGGTTGTCTCCGGAGCGTTGGCGGGACCCCGAGAGCCGCGGGAGGGTGACACTGAGCACGGTGGGGCTCAAAACGCTGTAGGTGCTGCTGGGAAGACGCTTCCCGTTTAGTGTCCAGTAGAGTGAGCCTGCATGAACGCCGTGGTCTGGATTCACTGAGCATGTGGCTGTCAGGCTGGAGCCGATGGGAAGGGCAGGGTCTTGAGGGTAGATTGTAGCCACCTCTGAGGGAGAGCGAGATATAGCAGGTTAGAGCTGGAAAGAGGCAGCACGGTTATTATAGGCTGTCTGGTTATGGGTGAGTTCAAATTATATGATGTTGAAGGAGGAGACCGACCGACCTTATGACTAACACATCAAAAAGGTTGAAAGTGACAGCCTAAATCAGAGCAATGTGGGATATGCAAGATGATCACAAAAGGAGATGATATCCATTTACTATGAAAGGGAATACTTGCAGTCAGATGGTTCGTCTTCATCTGACCGTACTTTTACCTATTAGATTGACTAACTAACTGAATAAATAAATAAATGCACTTAAAATAAATCAATGAACATTAATTATATAATTTGCACATGAAATATTGGTTTGAGATTTTTGTATTATGTGAGAAAAATATATGAAACTTGCACAGCGTTAAAAATAGAGCTTGCACGATTCAATGTTTAAATAATACAGTTTAGCGATCATTAAAAAATGATTTGGCCATAGAAAGCTGCGATTGACCAATAACAATCAAATATTCCAGATAGCTGCGTAATTGTACATTTTGTGTACAATTACGTTTCAGATGTTCAGAAGACATCTATCACTGCGCTGAATGATCCCAAACAATCAGCATAATAAAAAACTCACACACAATTATAATTTTGGAAACCCTGCTTGAGTTCATTATCACCCTCGTAATGTGACAGTGGAATCCCTCAAAAAAAAAAAAAGTGTTAATTCAACACAATTGGGTAATGGATGTGATGAGTGAACTGCCGTGTGATTACATGTAATTACATCAAGATGGATAGATAGACTAACCTTAAAAGAGAGATTACATATTCAGCACACATTCAGAGTGAAATCTTCTCTCCGTATCAAAGGGGAAAGATACAAATCATTCCTTTTATCTTATAACACTAATGAAACAGGATCTTTATAGGGCTTGTATCACTGCTAAATTGTCTTCAAAAGGTTTGTTTCATTTAAGTAGATTACAAAATTCTGACTCGAAAACATTTCACTTCAAACTGTTTAATGACAGTAGCAATTACAAGTATTTATTGCAGGTGTCTGAATAGGAAATGAGCAGTAAGATATTTGGTTTCAGATCAGAAGATCTCATGAGGTAATCCTGTAGTCCTGTCATCACTAAAACTCAGTAAAGCTTGGATGCACATCTTACCGCTGAGACGGTGAACAGCGGGACCACCCTTTGGACATTCCTGCCCGTGTGTCAAACCGCAATGATCTTTTAAAAGGTTACTTCTGTCTACACATTTTTTTTTTCTTCTTTTAACTCTGTTTATATTTCACTGAGGCCCAGAAAAAGTCAGCCTGACGTTTTTGCGTTTAATGTTGAACTGTATAGAGGAGAGGGATGTGTAGTCTACCATCATCAGTGGCTGTAATGCACTTCACTTTCTTAATTCCCTGCCTGGCAGTGAGGGTGTGAATGAGGCAATACTTCATTAGATGTAATTACTCTCAAGCTTCCCCTCCACCAACACCTGCGAATGTCACGTAAGGGGAATGTGCTAAACGCTTGCATTGTAAATGTATTTCTCAATAGCTATTAATAATTTAGCCCTTTGTTATTTACAACGCAATTATGCCCTTTGATCCTGATACATTGTTCTCTGCGATTCATTAAAAGCAAATTAAACTTTCACAAGCACCTATATTTCACCAACAACGAAAAAAGCTATGAACAGAACTAATCATCTCGGTGTTGATTTGAGGTGAACCTTTTCTTGCAGGCACATATGTTTTATAAAAACAAGCTTAGGAAACATGATGTCAGGGTTTTATTGTGGTTCATAAGGCTGAACCCTCCCCTCCATGTGTTAAATTAAATATGTATTCTCTGACCTTTTGAAATTTCAACCCCTAGCAGACTTTTTTAATATAGTGCAATATTTTGCACCGATATAGATACCATTAGTTGGCCAATTTGTAAACCAAGCAGTTTAAAACAACAGCTTTCCAATTTAGTATCCATTTAATGCTGTTCTCTAAAAATTATGACATTAATTAAAAATATGTAAAAAATGTAATTCATACAAAAATTACCCGAATACACATCTTCTACAATAAACATGTTTCCAGTTTATAGGTTACAAATTAACTCAGTTAGAATTAAGATAATTTTGACATTTTTGCAGGGCTTAACGTCTTAAGGTAGTGTACCTTTCTACACTAAAGACTGTAAAAAGAAATATTGTAAAAGATTGTAACCAATATTTAAATACCCAATTTTGTTGTGATCATGTGACAATAAAACAATGTTTTGTTAAAAAAAAGTTTTTTTTTTTTTTAAATGCAGCGATACAATAAAAAGTTCTAAAAAGTTAATTACAAGAACATGGTACATCCTCATTTGTTATTTATCTATACACAAAAAAATATTGTGCTTAATTCGCAGATGCTGGACACCTACTTTTTATTTTATTTTATTATCATTGTAGCCTACGTGACATTAAAAATACCTTAACATTAAAAAACTTAAAATAAAGTTACTATTCTATTCAAACTATTATATTTACCAATATAAATTCAATATTGAACGCGCCAAGTCCCCAAAATCCCATTCGATGAAGAAGGTACGTAAGAACACATGTAACACACACATAGAGAGCTATTAAATGTACTCACGGGTGGAAGACGACAACACGCCGGCAGCACAGAGCAGCAAAAACAATGGCCAGATCATCTTATGACAAATGTTCGCTTTCTTTCTTTTAGGACAAGAGAGTCTTATTGGTCTATGCAGGAATATTTGATCCACGCATGCCACACCGAGTCCAGCTCCAGTGCACCCGAACAGTTGATCCCAGCGTCAGTTCCTGAGCTGCGGGCGTCTCGCGGATATTCCAGAAGACTGAACTTTAAAGAATATCCGCTAAATGTTCTGTTAATGCGACGGTGCATTCGTCCTCTTCATTTACTTTTGGCATCGTTTACCGTGCTGAGGCTCTCCACTGCTAGGAAACATCCAAGTTTATACTTTGCAAGCTCCTCCCATGTCTTCCCACACAGTTCCAAGTCATTTTTGCCTCTTTCGTTTTATTCCTCCCTTCCTTCTGTCTGTGCCCTCCTCTTGTTTCCCTTTCCTCGTGAATCCCGAAGCTTCAGCCTACCTGTGGGTCAGAACAATCTCTTAATGGGAAGTCTTTACAAGCCCTTTTATGGATAGTCACTTAAAGCCGAGTAATTACATTCTGTGTTAATTGACTGCAGGAATAAAAGTTTAACTTGCCGTCTACACTTTGTCTCAGAGTCAGACCATGCATGTTTGTCTGACATACTATCTGTAATATGAATATTATATTTTTATTTGAACAGAACTGAATAAAGGTAGATAATATGACCCTAAAACGAGAGAAAAATAATAATTTCGTTTCTATATTCCATATGCTCAAATGTTCTATGGAATATAAAAAGAAAAACTGTTTCTAGGCTACATTTTATATAGTTTTACAATTGTTCTGATATGGGAAAAAATGCAATAACAATTCTGTAAATATAATTATATATAGGTATAAATGTAATGAAATTATAATTAAAGTAGTGCTGTCAAATTGATTAATCACATCTATAAAAGTTTGTTTATATTATATATGTGCGTAGGCTATATATATATATATATATATATATATAATATATGTGTGTATAAATATACACACACAGCTACATAATATATATATATATATATATATATACACACACACACACATTATATAAACACTTTTATGTTAGATACAATTAATCACGATTAATCAATTTGACAGCACTACATTAAATATAATTATATAGAGAAATAATTATAACGGCAATAAAAAACAATATTTCATTAACATCTGGGCAATCGGAAAATGTGAAATAAACTGAATTAAATAGAATTATTTAAGACAATAAGTTTCCAAAAACAAATTTTTTTTGATAAAACTGTGCATTTCTCTCCTTTTCTTTTGTCTGTACAAAGTTTAAATCAATGGAAAATGCATGTCAATTCAATACCAACGCCTCAAAGTTGTCATGACTAATGTTTGAGTAATGGTGGTTATGAGCAGTTGGAGATGTGGTCCTAGTCATTGAGTCACTCATTCGGTGACAATGTATATTTTGAAACAATAACCATGACAGTAAGTTCGCCCGTGGGTCAGCAAGCCACAATGCAGTGCTTTATTCTATTGTCGAAAAAACGCTTGTTAAAGCAGGGTTTACCGTTAGTTCCACGCTGGTTCTGTCTCGTAAATGAGTGAGTGGACTTCCTTTCCAGTTATCACCATACAATGCTATAACAAGAGGGATGTCATCCAAAGTCTATGAATGAATGGGGACAAAGACCATTCATCTAACAGAGCTGGAGTCTCAAGAGAGAGCTCCCACCACATTCATTAATTCTGCCCTTATCCTATAACTTCATGCTTATGTCTTCTAAACAGTTATTTAAAAGATCTGCACTTCGAAACACCATGTTCCTAAATATAATCTACACTTCCAAACAGTTTACTCATGCATCATGCCTATGAGTAATGCATAAGAGTCCATGCATGCTTAAGAATGTTATGTCATATAAATAGCGCACCTCAGGAAATGTACATTTACAAAGCATGATGATGTAATCACAACAACCTCAGCAGGCTTGAGATAAATGAAAGCCGTACAAACAGATTAACAAGATATAATTATCCGTGAATGAAGTAGCTGTTGCTGGGAAATACATGACTATTATTGGATGTGGTCATTTTACACAGAAATAAGCTCCAGATTTCAAAGGAAATGGTCTTACGATCATCTGCCTCAGATCTTTTGAGTCTTTAGGAATATAATCCAGTCCATTAAACGACTTTGGATCAACTTGAAGGGCGAGAGTGATTATACTTTTCACTAAATCCTAAAAGATGGGGAAATAATCCAAAACATTAGCTATGCAGAACAACTACAGGAGAGGAAGAAAAGGAGTAATTGAGTGATGTGTTAAAAGAGTTCTGCTTTGGAGACAGAACAACAAAGATAGTTAGAAACAGAAAAGCAAACAAGAACTTCCTCCAGGCAAATGAGTTACAACATAAATCTCTCGGCCAATTTACTGACTGCATCTGATTGGACACATACCCGGCTAGGTGATGCCTATCCAGACCAGGACATGACTTACACTTCAAGGAATTGTCTGTATCTAAGAGGACATTTATCCTCCAGAAGCCTGCTCCAAGACAGCACAACACACCATAATGAGACAGGGAAGCATTGATTACCGGGACCCTGTGATTTAGTGGGTGAGCTCTGGCATGTGGAACAAATTATCCCACCATAAAGATTTCAGGGGGAATTCTCTTCGGGACACAGGCTTTGACTCGCGGCATTCAAGCCGAGTGTGAAAGTATTGGCTGCTTTGTTTTGAAGCCCTCCGAGGAACCCAAATTGGACATGCAGTAATATAATGATGATTACCCAATGGGGGGTAAACCTTAGTCCAACACACCTCAGCATTTTATGTCCAATCAACTTGGCCGACACAGAAATCCTCTTAAAAATGTCTGGGAAGCTGGGAGAGGCTCCAGCTCTGCGAAACATGTGCTGAAATCACTGTAAATCAGGCAATTTCCTCTTAATACACAGAGACAGTCACTGACCCCAGCGGTCCAATCCTCACTGATTGGGAGAAAATGTTTGTTTGAAGTAGGGTCAAAGCCTTTCCAGACTCGCCTAAGCTTTGTTTACATTGTAATGTATGTTATAATGTATTATTATTTTTCTAAAGAACAGATAAATGCGAATTGACATGGAATCAAGTCAAAGAAATACAAATCAGACCATCATTTCTGACAGATACCCCAGTTTCTAAAGCCAGGGAAGCACCTTTGGCAAGCCCCCCCCCCCCCCGCCCCGAATAATGCATGACAGATGTATATCAACCATACACTCGGTGATGGCAAGATCTAGCAAATGTGTAGCCGAAAATCCCATGGGACACAGAGTTGTTAACTTGCTCTTTCTCCTCATTCCATCTGGATTCAATGTGCTGGGTGAAATGCATCGACAATCAAAAAAGAAGAACATTTCCCCCTTCATTCTCTTTTTTTTTGCCAATTTTTTATTCAATCCCCATAAACCATACTTACTCCCTATATCCTCTTACTCAAACGGGTTATGCAAATCCTGCATATTTATAGCCGTATATTTGTACTACTGTACCTCAAGTAAAAATATTTGGGGAATGTTTTGTTGTTCAATTTAAATACATGACTCAAAGCCCTAAAATATCTCAACGCACCCAGGGCTTTTGATTTGATTAAGAAAATAGAGCTAGATGAAAACTAGATTTGAAAGTCAATGCATTATATAAACATATAGGTTATATATAAACAAAACATAAACATAAACAAATGATAGATTAAACAATATGTGATCATTTACATGCTCTAATTGTTCTGCCAAAAGATGCTGTTCAAATTTTTATTTATACATGATGATGCTCAATACTTTTGTTTTGTACTGTCTTAAATATTATGGTGAGCTATTTGGAAGTATAACAACATGCAAAGAACACAAGTCCCACTGCATAAATAAAACAAATCTCTCGCCAATTGAGCTGCGTGTCATTCAGAGGCAACCATTAGAGGGAGCACAAACACAGTCTATTTAACTCAATCCAGAATTATATAACATTTATAATGAAATCTCTAAAGTTGTCAGGCCATGCATGCAAATCATCATAAAACACGTACAAATTGTTATTTAGTCAATTTTCACTTGCAATTTTTTTTAAATGAGCAATAGCATTTCAGTTCATTGTTATTGTTTTTTTGTGTTGAATAATCAATCTACAAATTGCTTTAATACACATTACCAATGCATCTTTGAAGCAATCAGACACGATGGGTTTTATATGATAAATATAATTATAATATATGAATATATGATAGATGTAATTAAATAGAGAAACAAGTAGGGAGGGTTGCATAATGGGATGGGGGCTGTCTGGAAAAGTGCTGTGGATGCAGGGTCATCAGTCTATCTCATGTTCTTCTGAACTGCTGTGTCATTGTGCTGTTTGGCATTTTCTTTATTCTCTTGGCAGTAAATGAGCACACCTGAGGTCTTGCACGCATGACAAGAAAGTCGTTTGCATATTATGCAGGACAAAGTCTATCTTGTGCAATTTGAAAGAACACAAAATAACAATTGCACCTGTCCTCAATACTAAATGTTAATATTTCATTGTGATTCAAAACAGTGTTACCAAAGCTTGCATTAAAAGGTGGCAGATAAGTGCTGGATTATTTATTAGAATTATCATAGCAATCATATAATTATCATAATAAATTGATTAAATGTTAAATGTTCTGATAATGAACTGATAAATAAGAATTCGATGCTATTGCTGCCATAATATAATGCTTTGCATATGTGCCTGATCTTTCTAACAGTAATCTTTGCTGTCCTTTGTTGGAACATTATTTGCTCTTGCACCTCCTGCTCATGGTGGAATTAGCATGTTCCTGCTTCAATGACTTCCTTAAGGCCATGACACGGCGAGAATCAGCTAAACAAACCTCACAAATTCTGCTAAGGTCAAAGGCCTGGGTGTAACCCAACAAGGAATATGATCTTTGGGAAGCCTTGCAGGAATACTGTAAAACAATCTGCTATCTGCCAGAGATCCATAAAATCTGATATAGGCCGATGTAATTTATATATAAAAACAACACTCTTAATATGAGGGATGTAAAAAAAAAACATTCTACAAATAATCTCACACGCAGGACCATTATCCAGCTAATATAATAACGTTGAGTAAATTTGTTGTGCATATAAGCAACAATTTAATTAAGTTAACAGTCGTTTCTGTTAAACATTTTTTCAGTTTTAATATTGGCATTTTACTGCACAGCTTTCTGTCAACATTGTTCACTACTTTTGAGGGGTCTGAAGTTCCCTGGTTAAAATGTGGATTAGCTTGTTCGTTATTGTGGAATGCCACTCACCATATATTCTGACTCACTTAAAGCCTTAGGGACAGTTACAATCTCAACAAGCCCAAGCAAATACACTGCAAATACAAATTTCATCTAGGATTAGGAAGAGGGTTTCCCAGTGGGTGTCTGTTTGCTTTTTACATAACAACCTTAAGAATTCTTGGCAACGAACTTGTCAATATTTTTCCATACCGTGACGGTGAAGCACTCAGACTCAGAAATGGATTACCTGAGACGAGTAATCAAATGACAAATGAGATCAACTGACAGTCCTCGTCCTCGATATCTTTGCTTTCGGTTTGTCATTCAACCTCCATTAGGTCTCGTTCAGTTGAATAGAGGAGTTGCACAGTCATGCTGATGTCAATGGCAGGCACGTGTGTTTGGTGAGCTGCCAGCGGGAGCGCGCTAGAGTGTGTGCACGAGCCTCCTTTACCAGTCATTCTTCGCTGTGTGTTTAGAAGGCAGGCGCGCGAGCGTGAGTGTGAGCGCGCGTTTCACCTCACACAGGCAGTTGACAGCTGGAAGGCGGTGGAGCTTCGCGGCACAGCAAACTTTCGTTTTTTTCGTGTGGGCTTTGCTTTGACGTTTTACGCGCCAGCTACAGGAACATTCTGTTCGTGAGTGCGCGCGGAGAGCATTCACCTCTTCATTTATTAATTTCTTTTGTTTTATTTTATCAGCATCATTCTTTAAATAAAGCATATATGCTGCCAGTACGTAAGTGGATAACTGTCGCCGGTTCCTGATACAAGGTGAGTGTTTTTAGCGGGTGTAACTTAGATAAAGAATTGCGTTTGGTGTCGATAAAGACCTGCACGCACTTGACACGGGGCTAAGTTTGTTAGCTAAGTTAATTAACTTAGTTAGTTTTTTTTTTTCTCGTCGTATCAACACAATTTTATCAGGGGTGCGATAGCCCACGGTGGGATGATGTCACATTCGTTAAAATCTCGGATTACTGTTTCATGTTTTTCCCCAAAGGAAAGTGCTGACAAAGTAGTTTTGTTCTTAATAATGCAATATCACACACGAGGATGTTACTGTAGTAGCACTGTTGGCAAATATCCGGGGTACTGACATTTACTACTACAGCTGCAGCATGATTGCTAGTATAATATTATAGAGTAGTTAAAAAATATCGAGTAACTTATCACACAAAGTTTGGCGAGTTAGTTCGTACATTTCTTTTCAGCCAAAAGAAAATAGTTCCGAAATAAGCCAAAGCGTCAAGCTTTGGGTCTCGCCAACGAACATGCTAAAACCCGGACTGGTCAGGCGTATATGAGTAAAGAGGGGCGACCCCTCCCACGCTCGAAGCGTTTTGTAATCACTGGGCTTTGAGTCTATTCCGGGTTTTCTATATAATGTCATGCTACTTGCACGAGAATCCCATTCCAAGCGGTTGTGGAGTATACATTTCATTTCAGTTAGTGTTTTTACGCATTTTTACCTTTATTCCAAAATAATAACTAAAGGCAATAAGAATTAACAATATATATTATTTGTGAACACATTTTTTAGCTTTTCTTTTTAATAGTCAACTTATTTTCAGCAGTCATCAAGCTTGTACACTGGCCACTAACCAAGCAGATTGCTCACTAAACCCCTTTTTTTTACTAGTAAGAATGCAATTACAGAGCTCTCTAATTCAATTTTTACTAGTAAAAAAACTAATTAAAGATATGTATAATTGCAGAGCTCTGTAATTTAATTAAAGAGCTCTGCAATTGCATTCTTACTAATAACAACTGAATTAGAGAGCTCTCTAATTGTAATTGTTACTAGTAATAATTGAATTGGAGAGCTCTCTAATTGTAATTCTTACTAGTAATTAAAAATGAATGGAAGTCAATGGAGACATACGCTCACCTAAAGGATTGTTAGGAACACCTGTTCAATTTCTCATTAATGCAATTATCTAATCAACCAATCACATGGCAGTTGCTTCAATGCATTTAGGGGTGTGGTCCTGGTCAAGACAATCTCCTGAACTCCAAACTGAATGTCAGAATGGGAAAGAAAGGTGATTTAAGCAATTTTGAGCGTGGCATGGTTGTTGGTGCCAGACGGGCCGGTCTGAGTATTTCACAATCTGCTCAGTTACTGGGATTTTCACGCACAACCATTTCTAGGGTTTACAAAGAATGGTGTGAAAAGGGAGTCGGCAGTCCTGTGGGCGAGAATGCCTTGTTGATGCTAGAGGTCAGAGGATAATGGGCCGACTGATTCAAGCTGATAGAAGAGCAACTTTGACTGAAATAACCACTCGTTACAACCGAGGTATGCAGCAAAGCATTTGTGAAGCCACAACACGCACAACCTTGAGGCGGATGGGCTACAACAGCAGAAGACCCCACCGGGTACCACTCATCTCCACTACAAATAGGAAAAAGAGGCTACAATTTGCAAGAGCTCACCAAAATTGGACAGTTGAAGACTGGAAAAATGTTGCCTGGTCTGATGAGTCTCGATTTCTGTTGAGACATTCAGATGGTAGAGTCAGAATTTGGCGTAAACAGAATGAGAACATGGATCCATCATGCCTTGTTACCACTGTGCAGGCTGGTGGTGTAATGGTGTGGGGGATGTTTTCTTGGCACACTTTAGGCCCCTTAGTGCCAATTGGGCATCGTTTAAATGCCACGGCCTACCTGAGCATTATTTCTGACCATGTCCATCCCTTTATGGCCACCATGTACCCATCCTCTGATGGCTACTTCCAGCAGGATAATGCACCATGTCACAAAGCTCGAATCATTTCAAATTGGTTTCTTGAACATGACAATGAGTTCACTGTACTAAAATGGCCCCCACAGTCACCAGATCTCAACCCAACAGAGCATCTTTGGGATGTGGTGGAACGGGAGCTTCGTGCCCTGGATGTGCATCCCACAAATCTCCATCAACTGCAAGATGCTATCCTATCAATATGGGCCAACATTTCTAAAGAATGCTTTCAGCACCTTGTTGAATCAATGCCACGTAGAATTAAGGCAGTTCTGAAGGCGAAAGGGGGTCAAACATAGTATTGGTATGGTGTTCCTAATAATCCTTTAGGTGAGTGTATGTCTTGTAAAAATTCATTTGTAGAGCTCTCTAATTGGAATTGTTACTAGTAAGAATTGAATTAGATAGCTCTGTAATTGTAATTCTTACTAGCAATAATTTAATTAGAGAGCTCTCTAATTTAATTCTTACTAGTAAAAATGCAATTACGACGAGTAACGCTGTGAACAATTTAAGCTAAAACGGCTTGCCATAAGCCTTCCCATTAACGTCATAATTGTCTTCATTCAGGCCGTGTCGAGAACGCGCAAGAAAAAAAGAGGTGGGATTTACTCACGAACCAATCATAACCGATCGTATCCAATCATAGCGCGATGGAATTGCCTCCTCTAACGTAGCGTTCCCCTATTCATTCTCAATAGGGAATGGCATTTATTCCCCATCAAACTCACCCCACACTTTGGGGGGTCTGTTAAAACTAAAAGGGCTCAGGGGAGGCAAGAGAGACGCAGCCTCATGCTGTAACTTTATATAGCCTAGTGATTTTTACAAAACATATTTGTTAAACAGGAAAATAAAGATTCAATGATGCAAACAGAATTAAATTATATAACACAGTTCTAAAAAGACAATAGTAAACAGTCATTCAGTTGAAATAAGTTCAGTGTTGATAAATTCTGGTTCAATAACTGTGTTGTAAAGTTAATCGATTATGGAATGAGATCAATTGAATTAATAGATAAAGACACTCTGGAGAAAACAGTGATGTCATCATCAGCTTAGTTCAGTTCTTAACCATTAGTATCAGTGCATTCCAGTCAATACTGCCAAATATTAAATAAGCAAGCCAAAAGGTGACCGTGGCAAGGAACTCGATGTTGACTGTTAATAAACCTTTTTAATAAACCTCAGTGCTTTGTGCACCTTTGTTTCATCATTATAACAACTCTATTTCCATTTGTGGAAGAAAACATCAACACACCGTTATGCTAGTATGTGTTGGCATGAAGCCCTACCTGTATTTATGACCTAATCATTAAATTGTTAATTTAACAAATTTGTTCAAAACAAATTGAATAACAACAGCACTCATACATTTTAATTTTAGCATCATATTTTTTATGCCTCTGTAGTCATTTACTTTTTATATATTATTTATTTACAAATAATAGCTAGAAGTTCTGTTAGGGATAAAGTACAGTTAGCTGGTCATTATTGCAAAAAAACAAAAACCTCTGACAGGGTGATCAGGACTTCATTAAACTATCCCGAAACTCTCTCACACTGACCCAGGGCCATCAGGCGATCCTTATTGTTGAGCCCTGAGCTAATTAAACTATCATTACTGTACTCATCTCTGAATCACACTGCAATGTATTCCTATAGTGTGTGTGTTTGTGTGTGAGTATGTCCGACTCTTTCCGAGTTAACTAATAGATCACAATCATTATGCAAAAAGTGCAGTGTATGTACTTAGAAACTTCATCTGAACAAAGGCTTTCCCATCAGCCTGATTCTAGGTCAGTTATCACCACCCTACCATGCACCCAGTGTCTTTATGATTCACAGGTTTCCTCATAGTCATGAACACGTTCCAGACTGCTCATAGACTGACTGGCTCTTTATCAGAGCAAAGGAGATGTGTCATGGTGCAGTTATTAATGAAGTGTTTTGTGCACTCAATAACCTCAGCTATATAACTGTGACACAATGGAACTTCGCTCTCCCTCCCTACCTCCCTCCCTCTCTCTCTACCTCTCCCTCCCTACCTCTCTCTCTGCTTCTCTCTCTCTCTCTCTCTCTCTCTCTCTCTCTCTCTCTCTCTCTCTCTCTCTCTCTCTCTCTCTCTCTCTCTCTCTCTCTCTCTCTCTCTCTCTCTCTCTCTCTCTCTAAGTGATTAGTTCAGACTTGTTGCAAACCGCTCTCATGCGCGCTCCACGTGTTTCCATGTGTTGGTAGAGTTTATTCTCATGAATTATGTGGAGAAAAGCCACTCAATCACCACTCCAAAGTATCGCATAAGCCTATACCTCACTTTTTGTGGTTCAACTTTGCTTTTTAAACCGGAAGAATGAAATAGCTCAGAAAATGAAACACTTCCCCCCTTAATAATAAAGATAGAGTGTAATTGTTGTTTTTATGGATGTGTAACCGGTACATATCTGTTGACATCTCAAAAAATGAGTTTTAGGGTTTTATGACTTTTAACTTTTATGACCTTTAAAGGGATAGTTAAATTATGATAATGTGATTATGCATATAATCTGAGCCATAACTGCAGTAAAATGCATGTTTTAATTGCAATATGTGTGTATATGCTTTAATTGCATTTCTTGCAATCTAGCCAAAGTGCGCACTAGTACGTGTGAACATGAAAAACCCACACAGATAAGGGCAAACATAAGCAAAATAAACAAATTAATTAATACAAAAATTATTATATTACATAATAAATTAGGTGGAGTGAGGTGTATTTTCAGGCAATTTGAAAAATATATATATATTTCGCATAACTGCAATGGGAACAGTTTTTTTCGCATTTACAGGTCACCTGGCGTAGTCACATGCTCATTCTTTAAAGATGGCATGGTATGTTTGGACAGAAGATGAGACAGAGTTCTTTATTAAACTCATAAAAGATAAAAGAATTACAGGAGTTCCTCTGTGAAATCACATGCGTGATTTTACAGAGGAACTCCTGTAATAACCTCCCAGAAACACCTCATACGTTGCCACTCCCAAGTATAAAGGGATTTCCTTGCCATTAATGCTTGGATAACACGCCAATGTCTCCTTTGATGAAAAATAATGGCTAGTGTGGTGGCTGCCATATACATAAACCTACCAATATCTGTCGCCATGATTTTTGGAATGACTTATTGCGTAAAATTGCATTTTAGTCTCGTAACATCGGTTAATGGAAATAAACAATGGTATATCTATAGTGAATAATCAAAGTAGCATTGAAAAGTAGGACTGAAAAATCTTGCCCATGTCATGTAAACTTATACTAATTCCTCACTCTGACTATTGGTGTACATGTAAACGTAGCCATTGAATCGAAAGTGCTGTGTAAAGGTTCTTCATAAATATTCCACAGACACAGCATACAGGTTTCGAATGACATTGAGGGTAGGCAAATAATGATTATTCCTTTAATTGCATACAGCACATCATGGTAGTTAACCAGGACAAAAGTTCACTTGGCAGCACCTACCAGAAAAGTTCCAGAGCTTTTCACTTTCTGTTCTATTATTTTTCAAATAACCTGACACTCGAGTTAATGGTTAATCCCACCAGAGCCATGGAGCTAATGTGCATGGCTCAGCATGTTAAAGTTCTCTTTAAAGTCCGGCTTTGCAGTATGGCATGTGGGAGTATGACACAATGAGCTTTTATGAGGGATGGAGGCCACGACTGAAGGAGCTCTCTTAGTTCCAAAAGAAGCCGTGGCTGGCAGCGTTGTCTTGTGATAAACTGTGCTTTAAGACAAATAAGTGTCTTCAACACTGAATAGTACAATAACAGCAACAACAGTAGCAAGTGTGGGACATTACATAACCCATAAAAAAAAAAAAAGTTTCTGATGAACAACAACACCAAGACTGATAAACAACAGAGACTTTGGCCTTCACTCGAAAACCATGTTGGTGTGCACAAAGGTCTTTTGATACCCAACTATTTCAGTTGTGCCACAAGCATGGTTTTGGAAGTCCTGTCTCTATTATGCAGGAAATCACATGTTTCGTCTGTGAACAAGGGAGTGGCTTTGCTGTTTACTTTTTTTTTTTTTTGTCTACTTGACATCCGTCAAGGAATAGGGAAGTGAAACATGATTCAGCCAAGTCTGTGCAACTGTTAACATAGACTGTAATTAAAGACAGTTTCTTGTAAATATTGTTATGATAGAAATGGGCTCTTCAGGATTTACGTAAAGCTGCCATTGTATTCCTTTTAAATTGCTTATTGCATGTTGTGTTTGTTTAGTTTTATATCCAAGATATCTTCCTCAATCATCTTTGGCTATATTCAATTATGCAATAAATTCAATAAAAAAATTTTTTGTGTTTTTTTTTTACAGGGTGAAAAGAGCACAATCCATCTCAGAGGACAATAATCTTTTGGAAGAAAAGTATATTGCATTTTTAATGCGTATGCTTCAAATAATTTAAGATAACTTTGCGTGTACATCCTCTAGTCTAGAGGATAAAATGACTTTTTACCTCGTCTATAAAGACAAAAAGCAGCATTTGTCTGATTTAAAGGAAGTGATGATATAATATCTTTTTATTATATACTGTGAATATTTCAACAATGCCAACTTGGCTTGATACAGAATCTTTGTATGGTGGACTTCTAACCAGGCAGAAGAAACATGGCTCTCTATCCCTAAGCGATCATCAGTTGTGCCTATTTTTCTTCATGACACGTGGATGGATATAGATATTTTGTCACTGCAGTCACCATCCGTTTCCTACATATATCAGTGACATTCTAGGTCTCAGAGAATGAACTGTCCAAGAAAGAAGAGGCCCATTAAAGATGAGGATTTCTCTGCCATCGTGGTGCCCTCCATGAGGGGTCATGGTTACTTGGATTACACGGTTGAAAGTCATCCCTCTAGAGCCATGCAGGTCATGGATGAGTTCCGGCATCATGAATTGCTCTGTGATCTGGTTCTACATGTGATGTACAAGGACAAGATAGTGGATTTTAAGGTGAGGTTTACAGTGGTCAGTCCTTAAAGGTGCACTAGCTGAAAAAGCCTAAAAGCCTAGCCTAGTCTGTTTTTTTTTAAAGAAAAAGCTGTCTTAAAAATGTCTCAATCAACTCCCTAGTTCAGTAGTCAGGGCACTGATCAAGGAGTCGGCCATTTTAAGGGCTGTCTCAATCCCAAAATCCTACCAGTGCACTCAAACGTTCGCTCCCTAAAAAGTCTCACAATGTACAGTTAAAACCAGGGAGCATCGATCCTCACTGTCTTCCCTTAACGGAAGTTCTGATGTGTGAAACATAAATCACGTGAGCCAACTCACTACACATAATGACATGCGATAGATGTTTTTTAAACCCTTATTTAATTAAATTTTGGTATTACATTGTTAGACAAGTTATAAACATAATCTAGCTAACATTTATGATTTATTTATGGCTGAAATGTTGCACGTATATGTAACAAGCATCATAATGTACTTTAAATAACATAAAAAAATAATCCCAGAAAGATATCAGTTCTGCTGTTGTTCATTAATACCAGTAGTGATGTGATACAATGAGGACGTTGTTATGTCGATGGAAATAGTCATGTGTCCCAATGTGTAGTGAGCCTGGATCCTTTCTGTCATTTTCAGTGCCCGAATTTGTGTACACGATATACTGATTCACGACCTAGGAAGCAAGGGAGCTGATTGAGACGCACCCTTATTCTACTAGTGTCATGAGATCTCCCATTGCAGCACAGTCTGTTCTAAGGTTTTTTTGTTTTAAAGGAGTTGAGGTTCACACACTTATCAATTGCATGATAGAAAACAATGTTAGCACAGTAGTTTTAGGTATTTCAGGATTTTATTTGGGGCTATTTTGGTTTCCCGGGTTTGAATCAACATCACAGGACTTTTTCCATACCATATACCAGTGCTCGTATACATCAGCAGTATCTTAATTAATCATAAGATTGAGTGGCCAACATTACATGAAAGCATTACATTATTGTTATAAAAAGGGCCTTTGTGTATTTATGTTATTATGAGCTTAAAAAATATATTTGTGCATTCTTCGTACTGTTATGCCTAAATTTACTTGCAGAATTGGTTTGTTTTGTGTTTTGTTTTTAATTTATTTAGACAAATAATATAGAAAGTCTATAGCATTAGCCATGTATTAACTATTGGCCTTAACACAGAATACAAAAAAAATACAAAACAAAAATAATTATTGGCTTATTGCATCAGAATTTTAATATCAATGCATCCCTAGTATAGATTAGTTGTTCTCTAATACTTTGTATAGTAAACTACATTGATTACTCTGTTTGGATTCCAAAAATGATATTCCAACTAGCAAATCAGGTCCAGCGTGTTTTAGTTTCTTTTTAATATGTTATGTCTCTGACACTGCAAATTACAGAGCACACAGATAAATTGTTCTCATTACAAGTGAAGAATTATGTTAGTACATGTTAAAGCATTTAATTGTAATTACAAGTACATGGCACATTCTGTACAGCTCAGGTTTCAGGTGTGTCCTGTCTGCTTCTTTTTTTCTTTTCTTTTTTACGCCAGACAGAATCTGCCTGAAGAAGACCCAGCAGGGTCGAAACGTTGCCTTTATATTAAATATGGGAGTTTAAAGCAGTGTTGCGGACATTACATTTTTTCACTTTAGTAAGTTTCTTTTGTCCTGCACCTGCCAGAAGGTGGGATGTGCACACAATTACTTTGATAAACAAGTGTCTACATTCCCCAGGTGCACAAACTGGTGCTGGCTGCCTGCAGTCCTTACTTCAAAGCCATGTTCACCAGTAACTTCAAGGAATGCCACGCCTCGGAGGTCACCCTGCGAGACGCGTGTCCTCAGGTCATCAGCCGCCTCATTGACTATGCCTACACCTCTCGCATTACAGTGGGCGAGAAGTGCGTTCTTCACGTCCTCTTGACAGCGATGCGCTATCAGATGGAAGAAGTGGCCAAAGCATGTTGCGATTTCCTCACAAAGAACCTGGAGCCGTCTAACGTCATAGGCATCTCGAGATTTGCAGAGGAGATCGGCTGCACCGAGCTGCACCTTCGCACAAGAGAGTATATCAACACTCACTTCAATGAGGTGCGTGCCCTGTAGACTCCGTTCACCGAAGTGTCAGTTAGCAGCAATCGATAGTTGCCACCTGCTGTGCTCTCTTAAGTAACTGTACTGAGCAATTGACCTGTAATAGTTAGTCTGTGAATGAATGAAGGCTGTAGAGAACAGCGCTGTGTACCTAATTGATTTGTCAATGGAACTCAGGTCTGCCTTGCAGATGGATATTGATTCGTATAAATTATCCAGCTGTCAAATGAATCATGCAATAAAGCAATAGTTAACCCAAAAACTATAATTAACCCAAAAATGCTCATGTCACTCCAACCTGTATTATTTTTCTTTCTTTATTACTTTGTTCTTAAACTCGAAAAGAGATGTTCAAGCTGCACTTTTCCATACAATGAAAGTAGATGGTGATTTATACAGTCAAGCTCAAATATTAAACGTAATGCATAAATGTATTTACCATGACAAAAGTATCATAAAAGTTGTCCACACGACCCATGCTGCTCATCTTCTGAAGCCAAGCAATAGCTACAAATAGAAAAAGCATGAAATTAAAGTCATTGTTGATTTATCCAATTCACATCTATTCAAAGAACTAGATGATAAGAGTTTATATATTGTTATTGTTTTTTAAACCGTCCTGTTCTTGCCATGAAAATGGCCTTTGGCGGCATAAAAAAGGATGTTTGGTGTCAATGATGTCAAACCTAGCACAATGTGTCTAAAGTCACCATTATTTTTTATTAAAAATAAGCATGAATGAGATTTGTGAGCTCCCTAATGATCAAATAATATTAATTTTGGTGCTGTTACATTAGCGAAATTTCTGTGAAATTTTGCTGGCAAAAAAGCTTCATTGTCTGTCGCCAATAGTATAGCGATGTATGAAGCACAGTTCTTACAGTAGTTACTTTGAAACCAAACAGCTTTCTGTTGGTCAACTTGGCAAATCTACATGACCAACTTGAACCCGTTGCGAAATCTATGTGGGGAATTCTTTCGCACTCATGCTAAATTCTCAATCATGTGGATGCTTATTGAAATGACTGCATCTATGATAAATGTGACTGCCCCTTTATGGAAAAAGATGAACATTCCTTTAATTTGTTCTTTTTTAATTTATTGTTCCTCTAATGTTTACATATTTACAAGTTTGTTATTGATATTTAAAAATATTTTCAAAGTCCATAAATACAAATTCAATAAGTCAGGACTTGTTCAGTATACATTTCAGATCTAACTATCCTCCATACTCATGTCACAGGTAACCAAAGAGGAGGAGTTCTTCAGTTTGTCCCATTGCCAGCTGCTAGAGTTGATCAGTCAGGACAGTCTAAAGGTGCTCTGCGAATCCGAGGTCTACAAGGCCTGCATTGACTGGGTCCGCTGGGATGCGGAGGGCCGGGCGCAGTACTTTCATGCCCTCCTCAACGCGGTCCACATCTATGCCCTGCCGCCCACATTCCTCAAAAGGCAACTGCAGTCCTGCCCCATCCTCAGCAAGGCCAACTCCTGCAAGGACTTCCTGTCCAAGATCTTCCAGGACATGGCTCTTCGAAAATCCCTGCCGCCCCCTCCTCATCGTGGGACGCAACTCATCTACATAGCGGGAGGGTACAGGCAACACTCTCTGGACTCTCTGGAAGCCTTCGACCCACGGAAGAATGTCTGGCTGAAGCTATCTGACATGGGATCTCCCTGTAGCGGGCTAGGGGCTTGCGTGTTGTTCGGGCTCATTTATACGGTCGGGGGACGGAATCTCTCTCTGCAGAACAACACGGAGTCTGGATTTTTGTCCTGCTACAACCCCATGACTAACCAGTGGACCCAGCTGGCTCCGCTCAACACGCCCAGAAACCGAGTGGGTGTCGGGGTCATTGACGGAAGCATTTATGCCGTAGGGGGTTCACATGCCTCTACACATCATAACAGCGTTGAGAGGTAAGGCTGGGGCAGGAAGAAAACAATTCAAAAAGGTTTTGTGTTGTCAAGGTTTTTTTTACGTTGTGGGGTTTTTCCCCTTTATATTATATTTCCTTTCTATTATACGTACGCTAGCGGAATCAAAACATTAGCACAGTGCAGAGTGACAGATTTAAACTTGGTTGACAAAGTTTTTATTACACCAAAGACTGAGTCGCGCACCTCCTGTCCGACAGAAGAACATTCACACAGAACGTGATAAAATCTTAGCAGAAAGGTTACAATGCACGCTACACTTGTGACACGTCGCTCATCAGCTACAGAAAGTGTTTTGACTTCTAGAACAATCTCCTTCCATCAGGGTGTAGAGATCAGTTTGCTCTGTTCTTTTCAGAGCAGTCACTCTTGACTAACAAGCTTCAGGCAAATCTGTTTCATAACGTACATTCCACGGCACAGAGTCAGGTTAGGCCTTTCAGAAGAAACTCATCTTCTCAATAAGTGTAATGATATGAATATTTTATATTTATTAGCCAATGGTGACAGATCAGGTAAGAGAGATTCATCAGCAACCTGAAACGAAAGTGCCATGTTGTTTGTTGAATACTGTGCCTCAATGTCACAAGTGAATCTGAATGGAAGGACTCCAATGTACTGTGAGAACTAAGAACTGGTTGTTATACAGTATTGAAAGGGTTATTGGGACTGTAAAAACACCTGCATAAGGAAGTGTCTACTTTGAACTAAACACATTATAATGATGAATGCATGAATTAGACTTAATTATCTTTAATTAGTCTTGTCTAAATAAGAACAACTTTGATACAAGTTACAAAACAATGTGGATATTATAATTTCTTCAGAAGTTTTGTACAAACTTCAAAATTACATTAATAACTAAATTATGGAAGACAAAATGAAGACATTGAGCTAACAACACTGCATAATCTATATATATATATATATATATATATATATATATATATATACTTATAGATAGATAGATAGATGGATAGATAGATAGAGAGCAATATAAGGAATTGGACAGAAGTCTCATGCTCACCAAGGCGACATTTATTTAATCAAAAGTACAGTAAAAACAGTAATATTGTGAAATTGTGAAAATATTGTACAATTTAAAATAATTGTTAATTCATAATCAGAAATCATTCTTAAAGGCTGATTTGATGCTCAAGAAACATTTCTCATTATCAATGTTAAAAACGGTTGTGCTGCTTAATATTCCCGTGGAAACCGTTATACATGTTCTTTTTCAGGAATCCTGAGCACACATTTGAAATTAATTTCTTTCTTTTTTTTTGGTAATATTATACACTATACACTTTCTGATCAATTCGATGCATCTTCGCTGAATTAAATTTCTTTAAAACAAATCATACTAACCCCAAACTGTAATGTGTATACAGTAAATAAACATCCATAAACAAGATATATTATGCCACAAGCAGAGAATGTAAAGTAAGTGGCATAAACCTCATTAACTTTGTCTTCATTTCTTATTTTTGCTATGGATTTGTGATATAATTTTCAAAAAGCATTTCTTGTAGACAACAGCTCAAGATTCATAACAGAGGCATGTGAGTCCTATTGAGGATCATTTAAATCCGAGCGAGCAGCTCAAAGCGGAAAGTTAATCTGTCCAGGAATGCAGGGAGAGAAAGTGCTTGTATTCTTTTTAAGAATTAGAGCTAGACACAAATTCAAACAATAAATGTCGATAGATCATCTACAATTTCAAAGATGAAAATGTGAAATTCAAGACTCAGTAATATATGTGCCTCTGTTGTGCTGGGAGACAGAAACTCTTGGGTCAGTAACAGTAGCTGTCTTCACAAGATTTTAAATGGAGATCTTGTATTGTTGGCAGGTTATATACAACCTCTTCTTGCTGAAGGCTGAATTTTAATTTGTGACATTCTGTTGCTGATATAACAGCTCATGGGAATTGCTTGCAATTATGATTGGTATTTGGCTCTGGATATCATTGTTGTAAACAATGGAATACTTGAAGTGATGAGATATTTACAGAGGATCTTTTAAATTGCCATTTCTAGGAAATCATATCCATGCATTATCTAAATTGGTTTGTAAGGATGTCTTGCTTATTGTTTTCACAGGTATGACCCAGAGACAAACCGCTGGACATTTGTGGCCCCTATGTCAGTAGCGCGACTGGGGGCCGGTGTCGTCATGTGTGGGGGGAGCCTGTATGTGGTGGGGGGGTTCGACGGGGACAACCGATGGAACACGGTGGAGCGCTATCAACCAGACACGAACACCTGGCAGCAAGTCGCACCTATGAACACAGTTCGGAGCGGCCTTGGTAAATATTCTGCACCATTTATCAAATTAATGGATTGGAACGGTTTTCTTTTATATGACATGTTAACCACAGTCATGTGATGTACTGCATGAATCGTGCCATTATATAAAAGTGACTAAAGGCAACAATAGGAAAATAAGAGAACAAATGACTAGATCAAATCTAATCAACAACATAATAAAACATCATATTCAGTGTTTGAAACTTTGCACTTGTCATGTTATTGCCTCCTTAAGACGAATCACTTTTTGTAAGTGACTTTTGATAAAACTATCCGCTAAACGAATAAATGTAATAATAAACCTGAATCAAACATAAGCTAAATAACATACAACTTTCTAAGCAAACAATTAATACACTATGTTTTCGTTCACAAGTTAATAAATAAAAAAAGATCAAACTATTTAAAAAATGTCCATGAAGGTGACTGGACTTCTAGGAATTCCTAGTTCCCAGAGTTGCTTGTCCCTGCAGCCTTGCACAACAATTCAGTATGTTATGTAATTGCTAAATCTGTGGCATAGTCATCAATGATTCATTTCAGAAGAGCTGAAGAATTACATGTGCAGTCAACATAAAGACATTTAAAGGGATAATTAATTTAGGAATGAAAATTCTTTCATCATTTATGCACCCTTATGTTGTTCCTAACTTGTATGTTTCTTTCTTCTGTGTAATAAAAAGGAGACATTTTAAAGAATGTTCACACTGCTTTCTTCCACGCAATCAATGTAGATGGGGACCAGGAACTGTCACGCTTCAAAAAAGCATCATAAAAGTAGTGCATACATTTTTAAGTTATACAAAGAAAATAATGCTTTGAAATTCTTCACAGACTCGGTCACCATTCACTTTCATTGTATGGCTGGAAGCTCCATACCAGAAAATACAGTACTCACAAATAAAAAAAGACCCCAAATTGACTTCATATGATGAAGTAAGCACTTGTTGGCATGTACTAAGCTGTTTGATTTGTGTTCTGTTTGTAGGGGTGGTGTGTATGGATAACTACCTCTATGCAGTTGGTGGCTACGATGGTCAAACCCAACTCAAAACGATGGAGAGATATAACATCGCTCGAGATGTGTGGGAACCCATGGCCTCAATGAACCACTGCCGCAGTGCACATGGAGTCACAGTCTACCAATGCAAGATATACGTGTTAGGTGAGCTGGATTGCTGGAAAGGAATGCATGCCATGAACTGATCAAATGTATACCTTGAATGCAGTGGCTAAAAGCATCTGCTTAATGCATAAATGTCAATAATCTTTCATATTATTCCATATCAGGTGGATTCAATCAAGGGGGTTTCTTGTCCAGTGTGGAGTGCTACTGTCCAGGCAGTAATGTATGGACGTTTGTAACAGATATGCCTGTTGGGCGCAGTGGAATGGGTGTTGCTGTAACCATGGAACCATGTCCTGGAATCCTGCCAGAGGATGAAGAGGATGAGGAGGAGATGTAATGTGGAAATTTGACCTGTGAACATGTGCCATGTTGAAGACAGCACATGCTGGATTTCCTTCAAATTTGTTTTTGCATGTGATGCCAATAAGAACATTTCCATGTCATTTTAGGTTAATTAAGTTTAATTTGATAAATCTCCATCCACTACAAAGCGTGTGTGATTTAGAGAAAGAAACATGGCTAATCACTGGACTAATGATCACTGTATCAGGACTAAAAGAATATGACTGAGAAACGCACAATCTTTTTGTCAAACTGCTGAACACGTAATTTTGTGAGCTTGTTCTAAAATGCTTTTCATGTCTGTAACTGCACTGTTTAATGTGCACACCTTATAAAACACTTAAATCTGATGAACGTTTGGCTTGGGGTTTGATTTTGCTTTGAATATGTTTCTGATAGCTTTCCTTTTTTTCGGGAGCGTTTGTAGTAAGTCAGGATAGATAATGCATTAAAAGGCTATTCTTACAGTTCTTAGAATAATTTGTAGTGTCTTCTAATACACCTTTAAATCAGTTCTCCTAAATAATTAAAAAAGTATAATTATGATTTCATGTTATAATGCTTTATATTCGTCATTGGGTTTAACCACGAACAGATAAATATGATTTTTAAAGATATCATAGATCTCAATTATGCATTAGAAATATCTTATATGTAGGGAACAGGCTTAATAAAAAGTGTTACCGTGTTTGCTTTTTACCACTAGGTGGAGGACTTCTACTTCCAGAGAGAACTTAGAGCCTGTCCCAATACTGGCACTTGCAGTCTTTGGACTTGACCACTTGTCTGCTTCCATGATGTATTTCCTGTATTTGGCCCAGGTGTTCAAGTGAGTGTGAAGTGTGTGTAAGAACTTTTGATCACCCAATGGGACACTTACTGTACATAGTGTCAATCAAATGTAATTGCGGTGCTTCTAATTAAGTTGTAAAAAGCAGTTGCAAACATTTTACATAATGCATTGCACATACTCAATAAAATGTGCAACTTTACATTTCACTACCAAATTATATGCAATATCTAATTAATTTAACTTGCACTGGAATGTTTTCCTAGGAATCTGGTGATTTGAACATGATGAATGATGCTGGGATACGGTTAACCTCAAATATAGCTCCAAAGCAGTGGTGTGCAAAAAGGGCACTGAGCTTTGGCATTATTCAGACTTGGGACAGTCTTGCGCCCTTCCTGTTTCTTGCATGGGAGTCAAGACCGCAAGTGTGAGAATTGGGACAGGATGTGGATTAAAAAGGGAATTGACATGAATTTTCTGCAAGCGTCCTATATCAACTCTTTCAAAGTTCATTTTTAAAAATGATAAACTGTAAATTTAATAATTCAAAAACGTATTTATGTTGATTAAATCGGCAAGGCTTTAGTTAAGGGTCCAATTCTTACTATTAACTAGTTGCTTATTAGCATATTACTAGGATAGTGGCTTTTTATTAATACTTATAAAGCACATTTTAATGCCTTATTCTGCATAACCATATTCTACATCCATTAGCAGTAATTAGGAGTTTATTAGGAGTAGACAAATGTCATAGTTAATAGTTAGGTAATAGTGAGAATTGGTCCCTAATCTAAAGTGTGACCATTCAATCTTTCACAGATGAATTTAGAACACAACGATTTTATTTTTTGCATAGTTATTTTCCGCATGGCAATGCAGTTTGTGTGCCATTTCTTTTCACTTATAAAAGACACAAGTACTTTTGTGATGTTACGACATTTATCATCCATCATGTGTCAGGCTTGTTTATATAAACTGGCAGAGCCTCTTTTTGTTCTTTGCCTCGTCCACATGTTTCAGTGTATTTTTTGCTGGATTGGTCTCAGGAAAGCCAACGGAATTAGAGAGGCTGCATGTTTAACAGGGCCTTTAATCACAAAAAAAACTTATTCATAATGTGTTAAATTGTTATGGATAGGTCAAGATATAGGTTTGTTGCTGTGTTAGAGCAAGCTTTTTGTTTAATACTCGCTGTCTCCATGTTATAGTTTACACAGAGTGGCTCGTTACATTTCCACGGTGAGACTCGATGGTTTGTTTACCCAGTGATAACTGTTTAATCCACAAACACAGGGGCGCCACTTCTTTTCTGCAGGTTCCTGGCTTTATCCATATCAAATCATGAGGTGCCATGTCAACACTGGCATACTGGGCAAACAGATTCCAGTCCTTGGGCGGCTCGCTGGCAAATCCTCACCGTGTGGCAGGATGTGAGATGTGTGATCAGCGGGCAGTGGATCTGTCACACACAAACACATGCTGAGAGACACATAAGAGTGTGAGTAAGGACCCAAGGCCTTGTTTTGGCTAATCCTGAAGTCTGATTGGATGGTGAACTGGAGCTGTCTCTTCCCCAAGCCTAACAATATATCTGATGACTCACATGGCAAAGTATGACGCACTCTCCAGTACACACACACATAGTCAGGAGTGTATGTGTTCAACAAACCTCAGTGCCTGAATGATATTGGTTGACACACAGCTGCCTTCCATAGTGTGTAAGGTACTAACTTGAGACAGCATCACAGTGCTTAACACGTGAATATACTGACTGGTCAAAGCAAAGGAAGCTTATAGTGCCTGGCTGCAGTCAAGCCACTTGGATATGCCTCACAATAGGGAAGAAACAACTATTACAATTACCATTTCATGCCGACTTTAATGCCTCTGGTTGAGCAAGTTATTGTCAGATGTCACATCTGAAAGAGTCACGTAAAAATGGTTAACCAAACAAGTTACACTTTTATATTAGTAATCTAATTCAAAATATACAACACGTTTTGTATAAAATGCATCAGTTTACCTGTGCTAAAGGTATTGCAAATGATATTGTCCAGTAATGTGTTAATATTCACATCCACACATAGGAGGAGCTAGGATCCTTTGCTTTCCTGAGCTGACAGCAAAAGCCAAATGATTGTGGTTTGGTTTCTTAGTGTCCTGTTGAAGAAAATCCAGCTATTTATGTCACCTCTAAGTTTCCTAAAGAGAAAACTTGCATCAGACCTGTTTCAAAATCTCAAATAGCCAGGGCCTATTATATATATAAAACGGCATATTACATTTAAGTTCTGGACTTATTTTTTAAGCCTTATCAATGTGTACTTTGTTGATGGCTTGACATTTAGGTCATCTTTAGATGTGGACTACAAATCCAAATGACCTTGACAGATAAGTGTCAAATAATATTTCTGCACATTGCAGATGTGACATCTGTTACTTGGTGTGATATTTACACTGAGTAATTCAGTAATTTTTCCAATTCTATTGATATTCACATTGTCCTATTGCAACAGTTTTGCAATGTAAGCAGAGAACAAAGAATAATGGGGGTTTAAAGATTTTAAACCCTCAAGTTGTTCCAAACCTGTATGAATTTCTTTTTTATGCTGAACACTAAATAAGATATTTTGAAGAATGTTGGTAACCAGACATTGACTTCCATAGTAGGAAAAAAATACTATGGAAGTCAATGGCTATACCATCAACCGTTTAAGAACCAAAATTCTTCTAAATATATTCTCTTGTGTACAGCAGAAGAAATAAATTCATACAGGTTTGGAACAGCTGAGTAGGTGAGTAGGCTGTGATGACAGAACTTTCATTTCATCAAGATCACATAATTGTTGGGTGAAGTAGCCTACGCCTTTAAGGTTGGTTGGGGGGGATTGGTTATTTACAAGTTTCATCAATCACAAACGTTTAGGGCCGCTAAATGTATCGAACAGAAATCGCTCTACAAGGTAACCATAGCAACTATTGCTCGATCGCAGTCCATATCGGAGTCGGAGGACATTATTCCCCTTTTATTTTTGGTATACATCACAAAATCGTTTAACATATTTTTAAGATAGGTTCACTCAGAAAATTACTGACAAGACATTCCTTTAAAAAGTTGCTCACTGAAAAAGTCACTGAATAACTCGCACACTTAATCTAAGCAACACTCGATTTTTTTACGATGTGTAACAAGAGCTCGGTCTTTGTGTCCTTGGCCTGAAATAGGTTGAAGACCCCTGACTTCAAGGATCAAATCTACTAGGACTTGTTAAAGGATGTTCTTGGACCTCTTGGGAGTTTTATGTAAGAAGTCAACCTTTTTTATTTAGCATATCAATTATTATATGATATCAGACCCGAAAATATTGTATATTTGACTAACATCATCATTAACTCTAAGTATGGATTTGAATACAAGTAATAAAGACGCCTGTCCAAAACTGAGGATAGCCGATGTCACATAATGTCAATTATTTAAACCTGATGCATAAGCCCCATATAGGAAGAATGATATCTTGCTGCCAACGTGCGATACGTGATTCAAGAACAGCGCGTCAAGTCAACTCGGTCTAGTAGGCAACGTTAAATCTCGTTTGTTTCATCATGCACGATATCATCCCTTAACGGTTTTAATGTGAATGTCGTGTAAAATAACGAATGACTAGAGTGCAGCAAGAACGTCGCAACCTTCTCTCACAAACCACATCGTACAACTTTAAAATCCAAACTGTGTTCAAGACTTATTTTTCCAAACTAAGCTGAGAAGCACGAGCGGACGGTTTCAAGCTCCCCACTGTGTGAATTGATTCTACTATGGGTCTGCCTGTAAGAGGGCTTCCGGAGCCGGGGTAAAATGTAGACATCGTTCCTATTGACACTTTAAAATAATTGAAATCTATTGATAAATACTTGGTTTGATCACTAAATAGGTACTTTGGTTAAGTTTAGTCTTGAATCTTAAAAATTTCAGAACTTTGCATTCTTATTAATGGAATCCAGAACCTTAAGCGTCCCTGCCTGAAAAAATGGAACATTCCACAATTTATTCCAGGGAAAGACTGACAGTTTTTTGGGTCATGAAGCAGCTGTTCAAGTCAGCGTCTCATCCTCCCTCCGCGGGAATAAGAAATTAGTACATTTGAAATTAGATAACCAAGATTTAAACTTACGGAGCGAAAGTAAATACAAATTTAGGAAAGCAACATACGAAGAAGATGATAGCCTACTACTACTAAAAAAGATTTATTATAATAAGGGTTATTTTGCATATATGTGTAAAGCGATGTTTAATTATATTTTATTAATTGTCACTATTGCAAATGAACAATATTTACAGTTTTTAACCTGAATTCATTGTTTGGTCAATATTAGTAAATTAACAAAAAATATTTTATAAAGCCATAATTTGTAATTCATTTGAAAAACATACAACTTAAGGGGGACTGATTATAGGCTATTGCATGGCTACTGTTTATATTTCATGACCAAAACTATTTTGTCATTTATGATGCAGTGACCACTGCTGAATGTCTCAGCTGAAATGACCATGGGCACATG